TATTAAGCAGAAACTACTTTACCAATGTATGAAGTCACGCGCTTCCTTAAGCTTTTGCCGAAAGTCCTTCCTCATTTCTGCCTTCGGTTGTGGCGAGTTCATAAAAACGTAAGGGCCAGCAGTTAGCATGTGGTGTTCCCCGGTCCTATCCCAAGTTCGATCTATCATCCGTTCAAGATATGTATATGTCTCGATAACTCTAATGCTATTCTCTTGACGCTCAACTTAGCCAGCTAATTGTAAGAACGGATTGGATCGAAGGTAACTTATATGATAGGGGTGGTGCGCATCCCTGTCGCTACTTATTAAGAGAATTAAGAGAACTATAGTGAGGAACGAATCACTTAAATGATTAATAATACCTACTTAAGTGGATTTTTGTTTAGTTGCCAAGTGAATCATATAGAGCTCTTTTACAATTACATGTACTCTAATCTGATTGAGAATATCACCATTTTCAGGAAGAGGGCATGGCAGCTAACATGCGTTGCTCTTATACCATTTCCTTTTCTTCCTAATGTTGGCAGATCTGAAATTCCGTTACTGTGCATTGGTGCACCCCTAACGTTAGCTATCATATTACGGAAACTGCCTCTACATCCTTTATTGGAAAAGAAGTCAGAGAATTTTCGTAGGCTGTCTGCCATGCTAATGGTGACAGCTACTCTGATTCTGGTGTCGTCCTATCTATTCCAAAAGGTAGGTTTTTTCACCTCAGCTATTCATTTACAGTTGGTCTACCGTTCTGTTGATGAACCATTTGGTTTCACTTTCCTAGTATTTTTGATATCCGCATTCAACCCTTTTTTTCTATCAATTTTTCTTTTAACGTTTATATTTCTTCTCTCTATAACTTACTTTTTCTAGCTATTGTACTTATTTGTTACCCTTTGCAGCCGCCAGCTATTCTCCGACTTATTTCTTGGCTTTCGCTGCCCTTTTCGCTTCTGCTGCCGCTTTTTTCACCACCTACTATTCTTGATAGAATGTCATGGTTTATCTGTGAGTTTTCTTGATAAGAATTTGAAACCATCTTTTTTATATATATATAAAGTCACACTATTTATAGGTTCACTGTTTGTGCCATACTCATTGCTATCGATAGCTTACGAATCGACTTTCATGTTATGTTTCGTTCCACTATTATTAATGTATCTACGGTTTGAGTTCGGTCATATGTCGGCTACCGACTTTCTCAATCTTCCAGCCGATCGGTCATTCAGTGTTGGTAGGCCCAACTACAAAAGATCTTATTCAGTCCTATTGTCGTTGAGTGATATTTTTGTTGTTATAGTCTGCACTTCGCCATCACGTCGCGTAGCCGGCGCAGAGTTGAGTCGCGCGGTAATTTGTGTTAGCTTTGTATTGGCTGCCATATTTGGTACTGGAAATTTCGCATCAATGAATTCGTTCAATCCGTCGACTTTGAGTCGATTTATCTCAGTGTTCAGGTAGTTTACTTTAACCTCTACAAGTTATTTCCATGTCACTCCATTTTGTTTGAATGCTTCGAAGCCGTGCTACTTTTCAGTCCATTCACAATGGCAACGCTACTCGTATTGAAAATATTTATACCTTTGTTGATGATATCACTACTGTTCGCAGCGGTTCTACGATTTGATCACGAAGCTATTCAACGGCATTCATGTTTGGTGCTTATTATTACAGATCTCATGGCTATGGTCAGTCTTTTTTTTCGATTTTCATGTCTCTTTCTCTTTTTCATTTGACCCTTTAAAGTGAGCTTTATCTTATTTTTCTGTCTTTGGTTTTATGAGGGAGGTGATTGGTCTGTTTTCAGTGCTTTTTCCATCAGCTCAAGGATGACGGGAGTTGGCTGGACATTGGCTTGAGCATATCTCAATATCTGATATCCATATGTACATCTGTTGCTATTTTGTTGCTATTATTATGTGCTAGTACTCTAATGACTACCATGTTATCCAGTTACAATGTAAAGAAGCTCAAAAGTGTGTTAAAGGGTGAACAAAACGATTGCCTTTTATGAACGTGTCTTTCTTCCATATAGTCTCCTCTAGTGGCTTTAAATAGAAATATGCTAGTCTTCTTCACAAAGATCTTTCGCATTGCATTGCCTTAAACGAGTGCTCATTCCATTGCATCAATCAGTAAATTTTCGCTATTCAGCTTGCCTTATTGCAAATAATAAATTTCATTAAATTGTAGAATTTAACCAAACAGAATAAAGCATTTATAATTGTTGTAAAAATTGTGCAAATTGGCGTGTTCAAGTGAAACCAATAATTGAGTAATAGTGACTACAAGAAGCAGTGGTTGAAAACATCAAAGGCGACTTCGGTCAGAGAAGACACGTATTATTGATCCGAGACCAAAACGAGCGACTAACTAAAAAATAATCGATTGACAAATGCAATAACAAGTGAAAAGCTCCTAGGAAAGAGCTGGAAGGTTTCGTTTTATCGAGAAATTTGAGAGAAGCAAAATAAGATGAGGCTCACCAATGAGTGCCAAGTCAAAAGTATCTGACACAGCGCATTTTCTGGTGTTATTTCCATTGCTTTGTATACGTACTTCATCAATATATCCCCTTCATCAGGAGAGAGCTTCTAAATGGTCCGTAAGTCATAGAATTAGTAATTTACTTTATAATATGTGTGAAAGTTACCTTTACAACAGGGTCAATCTCACTAGATTTGAATGAACCCAAAACTTTAGCGACTAGCATAGTGGATTTGTCTTTAACAGCCTTAAATAATGTATGATAGCAAGAAGACGAGATAAATCATGAGGCCAAAAGGTATCATCAAGATATGTATACAACGGTTATGACCTTTCAATTGTCGGAACCACATGTATAAATCGATGAAATGTACCTGATTTTTGCATTTTAATGGTGGATTCTGCAGTGCAGCATGAAGTGCATCCTCGAGGCGATTAGTTTGTAGATGCGAATTCACTGTACGCTCATCAGGCCCAAGACCAGGAGTATCGCCAGCTGAATTAAAGAAATTCAATACACAACTCCGAGACTAGACTATGGAACCTTTGGAACCATATTGAAAAAACCGGAAAATGTCGAAATTGAAAAATTAAAGTAGCGTAGAGGAGGTGATTTTTCCAAAACTCTTGAACATAAAGAGTTAAGTATCCATTGCTTCACACTACGTTATTTATTACTGTTATTATAACAAGTGTACTATTCCACACTACTCTTAAAATTTGTGGACGGTCAAGATTACTGGATTCCTTAAAAGCAGAAAAATTATATTGATTTTGACAAAACGATAAAAAAACGTACAAAAAGATTAGATAAGGGTAATTGATCCCTCCGGTAAGCAGGCCACATTCAACATTAGAAGAATGGAGGATCGTTTAACCAAAGATGGCCAATTGAGTATATTTACCTAATCTATTCATGTCTGTGAACCAAGAGCCAGCAGCACGAATAGATTGCAATGCGGAAATTAATGAAGCATAACAAAGAATTCATGGCCCACCTTTGTTCGAATCGGGTCAATCATGTCGCTGCGTTAAACATACAAGAAGTTTGAAGGTAATGTAAGCGATATAGGCCGTACGCCACGTTTCAAACGCTGTTCTCTTCAGAACAATGAATGACCCTACATTTTATTCATTCCCATTTCTTTGAGCTCATCCAACCATTGAGAAGTCAAGGCAGGTCTGCCTAATAAAGTTATGCTTATTTTTGCTTACAAAGGACTCATGGACCCCTTTTTCAATCCGTCTTTTTGTTTAGGATTGTAATTATTGCATGAACATTCATCTTCACTGCAATGGGCACCTCGAAGCGTCAATAAATCACAACGACCAAAGCTGCAAGGAACTCCCATACCCAATCACGACCTCAACGGTCAATATTTTCGTAGCAGCGACAGAGCACCAGGTAAGCCGTTGTTGAGACAACTACAGTTCATAAGTTCTCCTTAAACCTTGTAAGCTTAAGAATAGGTACGGTAAGCACATAGGTGTAAAAAAAGTATAAATTTTAGAACAAAAAAATATGCTATGGACCAATACAATACAAAAAGATATCCCGAGAAAAAAGAAAACCAACCGTCCTCATTTTCATCATAGTTTTCCGGGTCGTAGGCATCGACATCGATCTTCCGATAGCTGGTGTTTTCCATGTTCTTGGCCATTGTGACCGATTTGACTGGGAATAAGTCGTCACGAAAGACTTTAATAGGCGAAGACGATGAGCAACAACTGTGACGTCACAGACCAGACCACACAAATGCAGGGTACTGTAACCAGACTGGTACGCAGTTTGTGATTAGAGCGCGAGTTGAGCATATACTTGGCTGGCAATCACTTGACTCGAAAATATGTATAAGCTCCTACTCGAACAACCGTGATGGGATTGTCATCATCACGACCCTCTATTCATTAAAAAATCACGATCCCGACATCAAACCGTTTTCCCAAGGGATTGGAAATCACCGTGGTTTTGCGGTATGTCTGTGACAAAAAGATTGAGTAACTGGGACGTCATTCAGGAACTATGCTTCATCCAGAAATCCTTTACCCAACATGAATGCTCTTTATTTGGTTTCCAAATTTCTAGGCATTGAGCGCAGGGCGCCTATTTTCGCCCTAGGATTGGATGTACTAAATACAATTGAGCTTTTTCATGAGCTTATCATAGCGCTTGTAAGACAAAAAGTTGCAGAGTAGTATATTTAATCTTCCCGAAAGAACGAATAACTTAACACAGTCTTAACAACAAAATTGAGCTTTGAGCAAATAAATAATGATTAGATCAAGCAAGCAGAAAGATTACGCAAATTCAAAAATCGTACTCAACTTATGAACAACAAAATTTGAATAAAACCGGTGCACTTCTAGGAAACAGGCTTGCTACATTCATAATCTTTCAATGAAGTAACACCGAGATGCTTTTGTAGATCCGGTATTGTTTCCTCCCAGTGATTTTCCCAATCTACGGCCAAAAAGAATCTTGCTCGTTGGGCTTGCTCGACAATCCATGGCAGATTGCGGGCCAGGAACCTGTGACGATGCCTGAAAGCGTTTTCTCCAGCGGATGAAAACAACCTAGAAAAGCGTGGTAATCGAAGTACTTAGTTCAGAGATAAGACAGTCTTCTGCTCAGTATCAAGGTGGCAAGGGTATACTGATGAAGCATATTGATAGCCGTGAAGAATGGAAATAATTATCAAAAAAAAAAATAAACAACTAAGCAGCTTAAAATAAGAATTTGGGATACCAATGAGTAAGACTGGAGCCAATTTTGTTTACTTAGGTTTATTTACCCAAATCTACAGTAAAAACAGTAGCCAGTGATGGGAATCGCTTATTGACGAAGGAGAAACTCACATCGTACGTAAGCGTGCTGCTCCGAAAATACCAGCTGTAACGCACATGGGCAAGCCAAACTGGATACCTTCGAAGTATTTGACGGTGACCTCAAAGGTACGAATTTCAAAAGTTGGCTTTTTGCAACCGAAACGAAGCAGGAAAATTGTGAACTAAACTTGCGACGGCCTATACCTCTCCAAGCATGTGTGTAGGCATCTCCAGAAGGACATGATTGAAGTCGTGTGTTTCACGGTAACGTTGCATCACGTAAAGGTGTTTTTCGTTCTGCACAAATTTGACTGGAGGGCGTGCATCAGGTGACGTTTTCAAGCCAGCTAAAAACCTAAACGGATGAAGAGATCGACTTGAATTTTTTAGCACGAAGTTTAGGTTTTAATGCCGAAAAATGCAGATTTTATTGTAATTTTTTGGACATAACTACTGAAAGTCAATGAGTTTCAGTTCAATGGCTTCTCAAAAAAGCATGGAATAAGAAGCAATCAGCGATTTCTTTGAATCCTCTCAACAGTTAGCGGCGTTGCTGCACTTCCATCAATGGTTATATACAACTAACAAACGTCAGAGAAAAACGAACCAGAACGAACTCGGCCTCAGCAACGATGGATAAAAAATAAAGTTTCAAAGTATGTTTAATATAAACGCTGTATAGCTCCTTCCAACGATCAAAGGAAAAGGGACTGACTTGGCGTATTGTTTCCCAAACGTGTTATCGGGCAACGATTCGAGATATTCACGATTTACTGTCTGATTGGTGACCCTTGGCTGCTCCTTGAGAAGGCGTGCACCAACAACATCACTTTCCATTCGTTGACTGCAATAAGTTATTTCTTTTGATCAACTAATAGTCCAAATTCAAGAAACAAGTCGTTACCGTATCTTTTCTAGAACGCTTTCTAAGGCTGTGGCCTCCCCCATAGCAGCCACCATGTCACCCCGACGTGGATCGGAAATCGCCATAGCTGCTGAACCAACTCCAAGCAAGAGCCGAGAAACGGGAGAAAGCGGAATGTGACCAGGATACAAGCTAGTCATTTTTAATCTGAAACCCATTTAGTGATAACTGAAAGTTACGGAACTTCGAGTACGGTATTACGTTAGTTTCAATATGAAAACTTACTTTCGTACCCATGCAAAACGGATTCCCGGAAGAAAAGACGAAAATATCATGTATTCAGAACCTACCCCTCCTGTTACAGTTGATGCTTCGTCAGCTTCTATGCTTATTCCCCTCTTGACAGTTATTCCTCGCTGCTTTAGAATCTCTTCAATATTCCTCCCCTGAGTAAAAGTTGTTGAGAGTGAAGAATCTTTGGGTCAAAAAGTCTCATATTACCTTGAAATCTTTGAACCAGCCAAGGTTATCAGCGATAATGTGATGGTTTTTGCACTGATCACAAGTCACAATTACTACGCCTTTTTCGTATGAGTTTCGAGAAAATGTTTTTGGGCCCTGGAAACAGAGGTTGATTATGGCACTTTCTATTTCGAACTACTCCGAGAGATATGTTTGATTGCCGTTGCTTATGACTTGCCACATCCAGTTCAAGTTCGGCACTACTCGGGATAAGGCACATGTGGAAAGCTATCCCTATTCAGTTGTATTTTCCTCACGTTTCAACTTCAAAAGATCTATGAACCAAGTAGAAGTGGAGATATGCTGGTGTATTTGATCCTCTGTACCGAATCTGTGTGCTCGACAACAGCTCCACTTGATCCAACCCCGAAAGCGCCTTCAGGTCGGAACAACGAAACTGTTTTGCCATATCGGAGCTTTTTAAATTATTGCCAGGTTTTGACTCTAACAGGACGTAGGTAAAAAAGCTATTGCAACGGGCAGGCATTTGATCACATCCAGTCTTATTCTCGAAAATAGGACAGTACGAGCAATCCAACTAGTTAAAACAGTACAGTAAGAAATGCCTGCTGCGATGACGCAATCAGTTTTGAACCTGGGTAATGTTCGGATCAAAAATCTGACAGCAACTAAAAACTCATCTATGAATTCCTTAGCAAAGCGCTAAACTGTCAACAGATACAATCACTGGATAAATAAAAATAAGTCCAAAATCTACCCGTACCTGACGAGTTCCGCAGACTCCACAAGTATACTGGATAGACAATCGGGCTGTAGAGGGATCAGCTGGAAAAGAGCTCTGCTTACAGTAGGCCCTGGTCCTGGCACTATAAGATGATAGTGGATATCGTCCCGACTTGAGCGCCAATGATACAAACGAGCGGAACATTAGAAGAACGTCCGGCTTCAATAATCTGCTCCAATAAAGTTACCGTAATCTAGTTTGGCGCTATTTATTCGTTTGCGGATGACATAATTAATTCGTCGTCTGATTCTCTTGAAAGACTTGTCGTCTTTGTGCGTTAAGTAGGGCCTCTGGGAGGCTGTATCCCTGCTAGTTTCAACACGAGATCTGTGTAAGGACTTTAGTGGGTGGATTGGTGAGTGTTTTTTGAGGATGTTTTCGTTCACAAAAGATTTATTGAACCTAAATTACCCGAGACAGTAATTTTTTGAAAACTTCCGTTTAGCTCATTCCACGAATCAGAAAGTAAGGGTGTTTTAAGATCATCGCTGGTTATATCTGAATGATGTGCTGTTTTGAATTTCAGAACTTCCTTTTGACAAGTACGGCTCGACGCTCTCCAATAGTGGATGGATGTGGTAGTGAAGATACTTTCCTTTTTCTCGATTTTTGCTGTATAACTACATTTTGAGTTTCAGTCCGTTGTGATCCCCGTGAAGAATGGCATGCCTTACGTTGAAGATTGCTTGGGCTCCCTCCTGAACCAGACATTCGAAGGGACATGGGAGGTGAACTCTCAACAAACTCCATTTCGTTTGAGTTGAAAGCAGTTTTTGCAGGTATGCGTGTATGATGACGGAAGTACCGATGCAACGGTTGCCTGTATTGAAAAATTCGTTCCTAAATTTGCTGCCCGAGGTGTACACCTTAAGATCAGGAGCCGCTCAGAAAGTGGAGGTATCGAATCCGCAAAAAGTTTTCTAAATTTCTTCTAACTTCTTTATTTCACAGGAGTCGGTTATGCGAAGAATCGAGCTGTTGAAATGGGCTGTGGTCGTTATATTTGTTTTTGCGACGCTGATGACTTGTCACATCCCTTGCGAATCCAAGCACAATACGACCTGGCTCGTTCTTGCGTGGACAGTTCATCAGTCTTCATAGGTTTGAGGTTAAAAATCTGGTTATAAAAACCTATTAGTCAAAATTTTGATTTCTAGTCGACAAATATCGACAAAACGGGTTTCTTCCGCTATATGGGTCGGGTGTTCTTGGGAGCCTGATCCTGTTCTGTCAAGATGCTCGCCTGTTCTTTCACTTTATCAGGACACCCATCTGGTTGTTCAATGGAGTGGAGTGGTGAAAATTACCGTTACCACGTACTTGGATATGCCCCATTGCCCAGTCTGATAGCCTCCAATACCCTCAAGCTTTCCATTTTTAGGAGATCTGAGCTCCGATTATAGCACACTTTCTTGGGAGCATAAAAACTGTGCGGGGCGTCACTAACCCCTAAAAGGCATTATAAAGACCAGATACTCATTGAAATGTCAGCGGATATATGAGCCGAAGTCTGCTGTGGGCATCTCAGAAAATGGTTTCATGAAGGTAGCAGGCTGCTCCTATCAGGTGCAAAAAAAGAAACAAAAAACAAAAGCACTAACTTGAACATTCCATTGGCACCCAAAAAAGAAGAAATTTGTTGAACCCAGGAGCGCAGGTCCGCGTATCGTCATAAAGCTAGTAAGACGTAGGTAATCAAAGAGGAGAGCAACAACAAGAAGGTGAATGTTTGTAGAATGATCACGCTCCTGAACTCGACCCACCCGGGTGTGATCCCGGGGTAGGTCGAATGCGACCCCTAGGCGCGAAAGGTCACTTCACGCCTAGGTGTTAGACGTCCTTAACTGGCTCCGAAAAGTGGATGGTCATTGTACTGCATACCACTATTAAAAGAATAGAATGCATACAGATGAAAGATCACTGAACCCATTCCATGAACTAACTGCACCATTTCAAGCATTTGGCGAGTGTTTGATGATTTTCACGATATTCGAGGTTCAACTGCAAATCTATTAGATTTTGTGCACGAAAACCTGACTTCCAGCCAGTGATTACAAATTTTCATCAATTCAAAAATATGTATTTATTTAGAGACTTCGTTTTCTTAATGTTGCTGTACTCTTCATTTGTTTAAGTTGACGTGGACATGTATAATGACCATCGAATTTTCGCAGCTAATTAAGGCCGCCTAGCACTTAGGTGTGAAGTGACCTTTTCTACCTAACAGTAGGTTCTCACATTCGCAAAGTGTCGGGTGCGTTACACATCTTATCAAAAACGGATTTGCACTGAACGTCTTATTCTTTTCAGTACTCCGTAGAACTTTAGTAATTTTTCAATTGTCTATTTACATTGATGAATCCGTGGTAAACCTTTCAGGAAGCAATTTTTGCCGATTACCGCAAGGATCAACAGATCGGTATACAAACTGGGCTAACGGCTTGTCTAATGATCAGCTAAGATGTCAAGTTCGTTTCTTCGTTGAAATTGTTGCTGTTCGACTAATCGCTTGGTTCGATATTATATGTAGTTTTAGGTTTTCACCTCTCACGGTCCTACCCTGATCGCTCCGACGTGGTTTATTTCTCGTGATCTCTACGACCAATTGCGCTGCTTCAAGGAAGACGTACGTACTGGCTACCCGGAGGACCTTGAATTTTTCTATCGAGCTCTTGATTTACAAAACGTTACTTTCTCAAAAGTAAGTACGGTATTCCCTTTAACACTTTTCAGTGGAAATGGCACTCATTTTTTCAAACTATAACGGAATACCTAAACTGCATTATTTCCACCCAATCGTTTGGTTTTAACTGGGGGAAAGGTTTTATCTCTGAATTCTATTTTGATTCGATTCCATTCTTATTGTATTCTATATTCTTCTATTCTGATCCGTTATTGTAGGTTGAAAAGATTTTGGTCACTTATCGTTACCATGGAGGCTGTGCTTCTTTGGGTGTGCCTGAGAATGCCATTTGGAAGATGCGTATTGATCGCTTCTGCTATAAGTTCCTTCCGTTATGGAAAACGTTCACGATTTGGAATGCTGGCAAGCAGGGGAAACGATTTTTCAAGTGCGTCGATGAGTTTATTCGAAATTAAAGTAATCACGCTCACTCCTCAAAATGTATTGTAGATCATTATCGGAAGAATGCAAAGCACGTGTGGTGTCGTTCTGCGACGTCGATGAGAAGAAGATAAATCGTGGAGTATTTGAGGAATACGATGAGGCAGCTCGTGTGGTACGATGGAGGATACCGATTGTGCACGTCAGGTAATCCACCACTCGGTATGGGGAGGAAGTTTTGGGAGACTTGGCAAATACGATTTTGCCTGAACCTCATGGAAATTTGGAAAAGTTTTGGCGTATCGACTGAACCTTGCCAGAATTTTGACAGGTCCAATGTATCGTGCGTTAAGGTGTGAAGAGATCAAACCACAGGAATCACCCGGTGATCGATGTCTGGGACACACCCAAGTGGACTAAAACAGATTCATGGAAACGAATAATTGATTGCTGATGACTATTCCTTGTAGGGTAGTTCATATCCTCTATTCATTTCCGGTTTTACAGTAGAGAAACTCAAACAGACACTCTGTCGACTCACTGAACAAAGTACATTGAACAACGTTTTTATCCATTTGGTCATATCAGGTGCCAAGGTGTTGACCTTGGAAATGTTGAAAAACTCATTTCTCTGTTTGGATCCGAATCACAATTCATCATCTTACTGATGGGTTGCTCCAGTAATTTTTCCTATCAAAACTTAATCGTTAGGAAACATGCATAGAAGTAGTCTTGGTCGATTTATTGGCTAGAAAGTTATCAGTTTCTGTAGATTCAATATGCATTATGTACGGGTTTGTGCTGTCTTACACAAGTTTGGTACATTTTTTTTGAAGCTTCCGTATGGAAAGGCTTTGTGAGATTTATTACATGATGGGGCATGAGGGAAGCGTTTCATTTACAAGTACCATTTAGACCACCTCTTTTTGAAAGATCTTAAAATTTGACTCACAAAAGTCGACATGACCACAACGTTAGTCTTAGTCATAACTTTTGTTACTTTTTCAGGCGAAATATAGTATATATATCGATTGCTAATATCTGGCCTCAAAGTGAAGCAGAAGTAAATAATTTTGATAAAGTACTAAAAAAATGGACTTTTGACATTTTTTCTTCCATCGTTCCACTAAAAACCCTTCGTTTCTCGCTACCCATGGCGACAAAACATTTGTGCGAGGGGTTTGACGAGTTTTTTTTTGTTGACTTAGTCAATTGTCGCTGTCAACGACGTTATCGAACGCTTATCGCTGTAGTCAGTCGTTAAGTGCTTGCATCGGGAATGTTTCTTTTACAGGAGTGCTGAATATCTTCAACCAAAAGGATATATCAAACAGAGAATGCCTGGTACTGATCAATTAATTGCAATACGCCATGCAGGCGATTTTTATTGAAAGTCGTGTTTTATTGAGTTACCCATATTCTGGTCGGGTTTGTGTTCCGAAAATGGGAAACGAACTCATCCTCGTATGGCAAGGATTAGATCCTTCATAGTTGGCGCCTTAAGCTACTGGCCTGGCGCTGTTGNTTTTTTTTTGTTGACTTAGTCAATTGTCGCTGTCAACGACGTTATCGAACGCTTATCGCTGTAGTCAGCCGTTAAGTGCTTGCATCGGGAATGTTTCTTTTACAGGAGTGCTAAATATCCTCAATCAAAGGGATATTATCAGACAGAGAATGCCTGTCACTGATCAATCAATTGCAATACGCCATGCAGCCGATTTTTATTGAAAATCGTCGTTTTGCTGGAGTTATCCATATTCTGGTCGGATTTGTGTTCCGAAAATGGGAAACGAACTCATTCTCGTATGGCAAGGATTAGATCCTTCATAGTTGGCGCCTTAAGCTACTGGCCTGGCGCTGTTGGCAACTGGATGATTGGGTCCATTTCTGTATGTTTAAAATAGACAGAAAGGAGACTCGTGATAGAATATCTAAAGAACTTGTTCTGCTTCACGCTGTGGACCCTGCTTTTTTATTATCATTTCTAATTCCCGAAATCAATGCTATGAGGCATTTCTTGTGGTGATTGCCTGCTGGGCAGAAGTAGACGAAGCGTGCTTTCTATTTCTCAATGTTAAATGAGCCGGTTAATTAGTGGTGTGGCCGAGTACGCGCTGAGTGACACCCGGCGATGCAAGCTGCCGCGATGTGTCACATAATGGTACCAGCTGTAGCGCCTTTAGAGCAGCGAAAGCTTAGGTATCGCTCTAATTGCGCGACATCGCAACGCGGAAGATTCCTGTCGCGTGGCGATAATCCAAAAAACAAAAATGCGAGTCTTGTCAATCACGGCCAGTACTTGGCTAATCGTCATCTGACAGAAAAGGTGTGGGGTATAAGTAGCGTGATGGATGAGTTCGGTGTCTCGAAAGCGTTGGGATTGGTTCGAGTTAAATTGAATGACGAGCTTTACTGTAGAAATTGTCGTTTCCATATATATTGCGTTCAACTTCTGGTTACGGATTTTTTGACCCACGGCTAATTAGACAATTACTATATTTCCAAACTTTCTTTTTTTTAATCGTATTTAAAGTGTTTTTTTCACACTGCCACCACTATGTGAAGTAGCCGTTCTGCGCCTGCACCCTAGTCCTTCTCGTTGCCGATTTTTAGCTTGATCCACCATTTTCGTTCATGTTTCAGTTAATGTTGCTTTAANTGCGCTGTTCATCTTTCAGGGACGCCCGGCCTCCAGTAGTGATCTGCGTTAAATTGGATATGACAGGAGGTGATCTCGAACGGCTGGTAGCTGAATCGGGTTGGATTGAAGGGCGCGACTTCGTTCACTTCAGCTAAAGCTGTTGTCGTAAGTATTAACAGATGGTTGTTATCGATAAATACAGTTCTCCTCTTTTAGAAACTAATCATTTCAATATTTATTGCCTCCTAATTTCTTCGAGAACCTGCAAATGTGTGTTTCCTTTCACTCGCCGTCCCCCTTATCATCGATTTTCTCGAACAAGCGCAGAAACGCTTCCACTCGTCAATATTCTAGACCACTAAGGTGACGTAACTTTTCTCACTGTAGGAACAGAAGCATGTGGTTCCTTGGAAACTCCCTCAGGAGTTCTGACCATTGGGCCAAGCGCCGTCCTACGTCTCGTTTACATATTTTTATATCCTGTCAAAGTTTGATAAATTTTCCGTAAAGACACGGTTTGAACTGATTAATGAGGAAATTCTAGATTCCGTCGTGGAGTCGTAACAGAGTATTCTTATATTATGTAGGTGGCTACATTTGCTGCTGGCGTAGGAAAGCGCCATGCAAATGCAGTGCAGGTTAGTTTTAGTGTAATAACACAAAATCATGTGAGCTTTAAAAATAGGAGGGTTCCTGGAAAGCCTATTTGATTGGTTGTAAAAAAGGTTTATGTGACATGGGCAATAATTGTGCGTTTGTGTGCATTGATGGAGCTGATGTTCAGAAACGTTCAAGCTCAGCTCTTGCTCTACACATACATTCTGCAGACTTATTAAATCATTTTTACGTAACTTACTAAATTTATACTTAGCGCTAGTGGTTGATGAGCGTATTCTAAGTCGCCATTCGATAGAAAGCCCCCAGTCGCCTCTCGGTGCTTGGTCTCCTACAATCCGCACCGCGCCGGGCCGTTTACTTTTGCGCAGGAATTCGGCAGGTGGTTCCGAAAGTCATCTGAGTGGCTAGAATCTTACTGTTTTCCGTACTCTTCAGTTAGGTTCTGAGGGATTGGGTACGTATCGTAGTACGACACAAATCAATGACTTCGCTGCAGGCCGGTACAGCTAGCGAGTAAAAAGAATGATATGGTTGTAAAGATCTTCAATTGTGGTTAGAAAAGGGGAGGAGGGGTTCACTTGTTTCTGGAAACATATCCTAGCAGTGTGAATGAGAGCAGTTTTTTTTTTTGAATTAGAAAAGGAAGATTTATATTGCATGTTCCGTACTAGTGTGTGTGTCTATCTAGTCGTCTGGGTACCTCTCGCTCTAGCATGGTATCAGGTTGGTAAATGAATGCGTTTGTTTTAGGAAAATATAATTCTCTTTTATTTATCGAACAAAGGAGTACTCGTCAACTTAAGTAGTGACCATAGGGCGAGGATGGTGTAGTGGCAGGTGGATCACTATCGCCCACGCATGGTCCGGGAATCGAATCCCGGAGCGATGTGCGCTCAGGCCAATCAAGCCTTCCACCCTCCGGGGTCAGATAATTGGTAGCGGAATGGTCTGAGAGGATAAAAGCACTAACTTGGGCATCGGCTGGCCCAGCAAGCCATTGTATAGGCCAAATACGCATTCAATACGCCACTACGATTCTGAATGTATGTCAAATGCCGGGGCGCATCCCAAAACCGGATTGATTAACGGCAAAATCTTTTTCCTCAATCCTTTACATGGACCATAAAGTACTCAGGTTCCTGGTCTGAAAGTATGAATCACTCTGAAAACAGGTGGCTACGTCTCGAGATAAATTTAGTCAGAGAAATAATAGAGAAGTCATAATAGTCAGAGAAACACGCAGTTACGGAGTTGCCAACCTGGTACTTTCTGACATCCATGGATGACGATGCCGACCGAAAAATGCCGATGGTATGATCGCGCCCATTTTTTCTCCATCCTGATCGCATACTGGAATTCCGCCTCCACGGAGTTTCAATGAGGTGGAATCGTGGAGGTTGATCGCTGAAGGCTGTTGGCTATTCACTTGCTATGTGAAATATGTTATAGATTCTCTCCTCCACCGTCACTAGTTTGACACATTGCAACGGTAAAAACTCAGAAGTATGCTCCTGTTAAGGTCATTCTGTCGGTGTAAGTCTCCTATCCCCATTCTGAACATTCAGCATACGCCTCACTCTGTAGTTGATTCTGTTGTACGAACCTTTGTATTTCTCCTAGCTTATTGCGAGATTAAGTTTGCCGATGTTCAATCCTGAACAGAAACACTTGTATGGGCCGTAAAACGAGGAAGAAAAAATAAAGGATAAAATTTTTTGTAGTAAACAATCCTGCCTTTGGGATGCGCCCAGCATTCCACTCCATTCGGAATCGTAGGGGCGTATTGAATGCGTAATCACAGTAGACAATGACATGAGGTGGCCAGCCGACCTACAAGTCGGTGTTACCACATCCCAGACGAGTCTGGTACCGATGAACCGACTCCGGAGGGACGAAAGGCTTAGTTGTCTTGGGCAGACATCGAGCCGGGACAATCCGTGGGACTACGCATGTGATAACGTGTCACTTGCCATTACAACACTTCAGTCGATAACGGGTTCAGTACTGGTTTGCAGTGGTTTTTACATTAATTTCAGTAAACTCGTAGGCCGATTTCAGAGTTTCAAGCGCCCATACAGGTCTTCAGGAGTATACGCCAAAGCGATGTTCTCAACGTGGATGAGGCATAATGCGCAAAAAGGAGAGCGAAAGTGACGAAAGTCCGATGTTATAGAGAAGTGCTTGTAGTGAAGATTTCGAGATTTTCAGTTGAGTTGATGGAAAGACCAAGCCTCAGCACTCATTTTACTCGTCGGGCACCGGCATTGGCCAGGGCACTCGACTGATGGCAAATGGCGCTGCTAATGGTCCATCAGATTGCAGCGCCGCGTACGTTGACAATTACTCCCCATCATACACCGTGGGAAATTCCCGTTAATCGGTTGTGGGATTCTCGAATCATGGCAATGTTTACTTTACCATTTCTCAAAAGCGATATTTTTCTAGACTTCCATTCTGGCATCTTCAATTTCCAGCAAGTGCAAAGCTCTCGAGAACGACTACTGTGGACGTGACTTCCATCGTAGTCTGCGTTTAGTATAAGCGGCCGTTACAGTCAACGCCTTACAGTTGGAAGCAGGAACATTCGAAGGTTCAGATTCCAGCTGGCGCAAACTTTTGAGCAACCTTTTTTCCATTGCCGGGTGCCGGATGAGTGACGGTGGAACAGAAAAAATGACAGAGTATTTCGCAGAGTCAAGATAAATAAGCAGTCGTTAGCGATTTTTGGAGGGTTCTTTCTTATCTGTAAGTTTAGGAACAGCGTATTTGTTTAGCGGTTGGAAAATAACATGCTCCAGCACGAAGGTGTCAGATGCGGCGCGGAAGTCGCCAGCAGACTTCCGCCGAGCGGCCAGCGTTGTCAGCAGACGATGTCCAACACTGTCAATGTTTGTACGGCAACGCTACTTTTCAACGGGCGTCGCTGAAATCTGAAAGCGACCACGATAGCGAAAAGAGACCATTTGAATATTTGCACTCCTTGAAATATTTTCCGTGCGCCGGTTCTCCCTTTGCTCGGCCAGAGCGTTCAGCATACAGCTGCAAATTGTTAATATCGATCCAACGCGGAAAGCCGTGCCCAACGCGGACTCTGAACGCTTTTTGTTAATTTTTGTTTTGTTTGATGCCATTTGATAGATTATTCTAAATGCTTCGAGATAGTCTAACATATTCTGCGTGTCAGTTTTACTCGCAGCAAAGAAATCTCAGAAGTAATCTTCAGGTACTTTTGGACCCGAGCAGAAAGGACGAAATGCTGGTCTCAGTACTTCGTCACTGTACAAAAGCAATGGGGATAAATGGAATCTCGAGAAAGGCTGCCACTTGCTTCATAAAAATGCCTTACTCTACGGTATGTCTCGGATGGTGTTGGTATTAGTTTGCCCGTTAAGATTTGGACTTTCGTTTTGATCTTTGAAAACCGATCGATTGCTATTTTGTAATTTCTTCCATGTAAAGTAATTGGTTCACATATCTTTGTAGAAAGAAAAGAAATCGAATCAAATTGCAACCAATCGACTTTTAGCCAGTTCTTTGGTCTCCCAGTCTGCCCATTTGGTGAATCCTTGAAACGTGCAAAGGGCTCAGTCACATTTCAGCCCGTATGGAATCCCTCCCATGAACGCCTACTTCTCGATTCTTTGCTGCGATGCAAGTTATGAAAATACTCTTCGAGGCCCCCTTCAGTTTGGAAATTGAGCTGGTCCCATAGAAATTGTTCAGAAAGGACAACGATATCATGAAATACGATATGTCATATCATAGCGGGCAAAGTGTAAACGTTTAGGAATTGACTGCTTGCACGTCGTTCGTTGTGGTAAACGAGGGGTGGCGACAACAGTCGGCATAACTGATCTCCTTGTCATTTTGTGGCCAACCTCTCATGTCCCAATTGAACCCTACGGTTTCCCATGTTTGCCCATTATAAGGTATATGGTAGCGTGGGCGAAAACTAAGCTGATAAATGCCCATCATGTGGGAGTGTGTGTTCGCATGTTTGTTTTTTTCTGCAGCCATTGGGACTGACGTATGATGGCGGCCGATATCGATTCGCTGACACTCGGCCTGCTCTCGTCGGTCCACTCACTCTCGCTTCAGCTCCGATTTTCCCTTCAGGAATGCTCCTCCAGTGGTTTGCAGCGGTGGTAATGTTGCTGATTAACCAATTATTGCAACTTCCGCTCCTCGCCAGCCTCCTGTCACCATTTGGGTCCCCAATGCCTGGCATTGTGTGAATTGTCGGTGGTATTCGAAAATTACCTTTCAATATTTACTTTTTGTCTTGTACTTCAGCAGGATAGTGAGGAAATTTATAAAATAATTGTTATTAGTCCGGAAAAAATTCCTCTGGAAAATTCCGAGCAAATGCTATTCACTGAATTTTTTGGTCACCCCACTTATATACCTCCTACGCGCTTATCGACCGATGTATTCGGTTGCTCATCAGGTGTCGCTTTTCTCTGAGAAGCTGTTGAAGAATCGAACTTATGTTTAAAAGCAATTACTGTTACTAGAAATAGAGTCTCAGTTTTTCAGTTTTTGGAAATTGGAATAAAATGAAATAAAAGTTAGATAAAATTAATTATATAAAAATTAAAAAAAAATCGAATAAAAACATTTCATTCTAATGATTACTGAGGCATTACAAGCGCAAAGAACACTGCTTGATGACCTCTAGTATTGCATTACTTTGATTTGAATCTTTTTTGTTGAACATATTTTTAACTCACATATATAAGAGTGATTGTCGATAAAGTAATAGTGCTACTCAAAGTCGTTGTAACGTTCGGCCTAATTGTTAGGCAAGCTCGGCTAAGCAGCATTCATGGTCCGCGGAAGGCAAATATTGATCGCTGTTGCGCGCAGCATGAAATCTCGTTCTAATGATTACTGAGGCATTACAAGCGCAAAGAACGCTGCTTGATGACCTCTAGTATTGCATTACTTTGATTTGAATCTTTTTTGTTGAACATATTTTTAACTCACATATATAAGAGTGATTGTCGATAAAGTAATAGTGCTACTCAATGTCGTTGTAACGTTCGGCCTAATTGTTAGGCAAGCTCGACTAAGCAGCATTCATGGTCCGCGGAAGGCAAATATTGATCGCTGTTGCGCGCAGCATGAAGCACGCGTGCGGTGATCGATAATTCGAGCTCAAGCGTCTTAGGCGCAGTCGACTCTGAGGTGTGTCCCTCAAGGCGCCATATCGATTACGTTAGGCATGGCTCATATACATTTGTGGCATCGACGACCGGTGGTACGTCACCGCAACACTATTGCTACTTGCCCATCGCAGACTTTGGATGCTGTCCAAGTGGTTTCTTAGTTGTCCTGCGGCTCTCTCATAGCAATATACTTCTCCTCATTGCAAGTAGTTCGTTCTTGTCAATTCCATCTTGTTCCCCAAAAATTCTGAGATGCATCAACAAATAGAACAGCATATTTAGTCAATCCAGTTTCAGCAAATGTTTTCTGGACTGGATGTGCACCATGGTGTATTCATTCAGAGGGCGGGGACCCAAAGTGTCAATTATGCTCCCAGCTGCTTCCTTCCACCAAGATGACATTAGCCAAAGCTCCAATGAGCTTGAGTAGAGCTACCTTGATTTTATCTTATTGGAATAAGCAAAGGAAAAGACGGAGACAGATTATTTGATGATAGATTTCGGCGATACAGTTGTGAGGCTATTGTCGATTTCGGTCGATATAAATTGGTAAAGTTTGGTTTTTGTCAGATTCGAAACTTGGCCTGATATGGCCTTCTAAGGCCGTATTTGGGGTTCCAAAAAGATTTTTTTGTGATAGATAAAGCTTGATGAGATGAAAATTTTTTAGAAGCGATCAAAAGTGTTAAAGTATTTGAATCTGAGGTTCTTCAGAATTAGGAAAGTTCAATTGACAACCATCTGAAAGTCGAATCTATTCAAGTTGCTGGCAATCGTTTCCGTTCAATTCGCGCTCTATTCATGAGTTATGCTCTGATCGAATAACATTCAGCGGCCTTCTACTTGCCAATGCAGTAAAGTCACCTGAATTGTGTGATGTTCTTCTTCTGGTCTGTTTTTACGCTTAGTGCCACCCAATCACTGCCTTTATTTTCATGACCTTTGAACAGATTTCATCGGGCTGCTCTTAGGGCAGTAATCACAGTCATTTAACGTTGGAATCAATCCTAATGATCATTCCTTGAAATGACTAATTAAATTCCAGAAAGGCTAACGGAAACTTACGAATGTCACCCCTTTTTTCATCTGGTGCATTTATGCCGCGTGAATTGATAATGAGGGTGGTTGATGATAGGATTGTATGGAATCGCCCTTTCCGCTGATTTGGGAAACTCTTGTGTAGATATCACTAAGTTCAGCAGTTATTCTTCATATCGTTTACGTCTTTTACTGATAGCCGCATTTACTGGTTGGATCACAACGGAAAAACAAAAATTCAGGATGAGCCCTGGCTTCCTACAACTATCTTACCGCAAAATGAAATACAAGGGTCGCGAGATTTTTACAGACAACATGTCTCGTTCTACGGCATAGGCTTGGTTCAGTACAGGCCTACGGACTACTTGAACTCGGTTCCTTTTCCTTCAATTGTGGCGACCACTTGAGCGCTCCGGCAGTACCTGCGGTTTTATGCGTGGAAACGCGATGCCATGAATGTGCCCAATCATGTCTCATATAGACGCTTCGACAAAGGTTATGGGCAAGCCCTTGGGTGGACGGTGGGGGCAGTGGTTGATTTTTGTGCCATATCCAGATATTCAAAGCAAAACTCGCAACTGTATTGCTGACTCGCAACTGTATTGCTGTATGGACCGCTTAGCATTTGAGCTCAATCTTTCACCATACCCATCCATTTCTGAATTGAAAAGGTAATATGGAAAGCATTATTCCCCTTGTTGGTATCATGGCAACGGCTGTTGTATCCCCTTCTGAGGTTGAAATTATCCTTCAACGGGATATGCTGGTTAGATGGAACATTTTGGGGTGGCCTACTCTGAAGTCTTTCTTTATCCTACTCTGGGAGGTTATTTTTATGCGGCAACTTGGGAACACATGAAGGTAGGATAGGCGTATTGATCGGTACTGATGCTTCCCATAGCCAAAAACACAATGGGTGACGAAACGTTTTCTCATGCTTTGAAAGCAGAGCTGCTTACTTTTCACAGTTGATTCAATATAGGGACCATTCTCTTCAACTGTGTCGTTCTTGTTATTGTTTTGCTGGGATTGTTTCTTTGAATACTCGTTGCATATCAAACTTTCATGAATTTTGAAAAATTCAAAGCCTATGGCAATGTTTCAGATGGTATTCAAGCCGGTGCATCCTGATGAGCAGAAATTCGTAGATACTGCATTGGCACTCGTGAAAGAAGCAGGGCGGGTGAGTTATCCATCAATCATAGCCATTTAGAGACTGACCGTTTTCCATCCATTTTCTCTCGGACCCATTTCAATTACAACTGCGGCAATCTTTTCGTGCATTTTAAATAGAATGCTCGTCATATGGATCATGGTCCAATATACCGCCTTATGTGTTATTTTTTACTCAATAACTTTCTTATTCCGGGGGCGCAGGTAAATATGGGTATGATCAAGTGGTACCTACGATGAAATAGAAATCAAATCGTGTGAATTGAAGCATGATGTGGATTGAATTTTCGTGGGAATTGAACTTCGAATCCCCGGTTTGCTTTTAGGCCGTTTATCCTTCTAAGTCATTCGACTCTTATAGATTTGTCCGCAATAGCTGAATGGATTACCAGTTCGTGGATTATTTCTGGGCGATTCGGTTGAGCCTAGTGGTTCCTCCTTTTTATTTCCTTCGTCACTTTTGAAGTGGCGACATACGAGCGTGTGAGAATTGGCTCATCGTGCGTTTGTAACCTTTTTGCTTTTCATCATAATTCAAAAACTGAAATGTTGAATGGGCAGAATGAATTTCGTCTGAGACTATGTATTGGGTTCTTTTAATCTGTTTTTAATTCTGCAAATGTAAGGAATTTCAGAGCAGCTGCCTCTATTAATTCAACGGCGTTGTTCGAGAGGTTTATGAGATTACACCCCGCATTTCAGCTTGTCCGTGATGCGTTCGATCAACCGAATTGTGTTGTCAAAACCAAAGCGTCCAACGTCGATCTTGTCACGGAGACGGACCAAGCGGTTGAGAAATTGTTGATTCAAGGTCTCTCGAAGGCATTTCCTGACCACAAGTGAGCTGTTTCTTATTCAATGCCCGCTTGCTAATTATAGCTTGTATCGCCTAAGAAATCACCACATATCATGCTGAAGTTGGCCCTAGCTAACCCTACTACCCCATTATTATAGGGAAAGCAAACACTGTTTTTCAGATAATGCGACTTTTCTAGCTTGTATTAATGGACCCAAACTTCTTAGAATGTATCCTTTTCTCCTACTAGTCTGGCATGTTTTTCTTCTTTGATTTTGCTCGACTCCTGAAATAAGTCCTTGAATTCGAGAATGACGTGTGAACTCTATCCGTTTNTTTGCTTTTATTGATTGATACTTCCATAGAGGACATGATCACAAGCAGGCAGTCATGGGATATCTACTGTCATCCACAATTTTGTTAGATTATTACTAAGATCGCTTGTTATATTTCCCTCCACAGGGGAGTGTCTAGACGCCTTAAAACAGTTGCATTTTATTATAATTAACTTCTCCTCTTGTCTTGCATTATCCCATATCGCATTAGGAGACAGGTCGATGTGGAGATGCTCCATTGACAGAGTCAAAAAACAACAAAACAAAAATCCATTCAATCGTCGGTAGCTAATTCTGAAATTGTCGTCGCAGAGCGCTTTTTGCGCTCTGGAACGGTGGGGCTGAAAGCTGTAGTCTGGAGCTAACTAGAAGTCTTTAAACCTTACTGTTGGTAGGTTTGTTGCCAACCATATTAAGAAGCATCGCTCTTCGGCCCGTTTTGTAGATTTTGGAACAGGTTACAATGGTAGGGTATGCGAGGTTTCATCATGAAATAACGGTTGGTATCCTTTGAGCTGAGCCGCCTCATTCTATAAATATGTGTTTAGTAGCCTGAAAAGTGGGTTCTCGCACATTCTTGCTCACAACCTTCGAATGATTCGATCGTTACGCGACGGCACGCCGCGCCTGCAAGTTCTTCTGCTGCGATTAAATTTCCCGTTGTGCTGCCCAGGATTTTTCATTCCTTAGTAGCCCCTGAACATTGCAGATATTGAGCATCAAATTCTTCGAAATCCGTGATCTGCTGTTGAGATATACCCTTTTTGTTTCCACAAAGGCCACATGTATTATACGCAGAACTTTTTTATGTGTTGTTTTGAGGTACTGTAATATTTCTATTCAATTTGTTCGCCGGTCTCTTTCTGGGAACCGGCTTTAAGAAATCAATGAGTTGCGAAAGTTTTGAAGGTTCATTGGTGAAGAATCGACCGCTAATGGCGCCGCTATCGAATATACTAACGCACCCACTTGGATTATCGACCCCATCGATGGTACGACAAATTTTGTTCACAGGTACGTTTTTCAATGCGACGTTTTTTTGCCATTACTATTCATTCACTCTATTCGACTGTGTGTAGAATAGCAATGCTTTTACAAGCAAATTACCCCGTAATTATTCGCTGAACTACTTCAAGGATTCCTCTTGTTGCTATATGCGTCGGTCTAGCTATCAATAAGGAGCTTAGAGCAGGAATTGTGTACAATCCTATATCAAGGGAATTGTACTTTGCTCAGGTGGGTCTGTTTCATTTGTGATTGCGCGGCTACAGTCTTATTCGTAACCTGAATGCGATTATGAATAATCGATTCTTAAGGTTGGCTGCGGAGCGTTCAAAAATGGATTCCCAATTCACGTGTCTAACACGACTGGTGAGTTCGAATATGATTGTCGAAGAGCATGCAGCATTCCTTTCTGTTCGTGCGTCGAGTGATTCATTCGGCATTGTCATCGATTCCTTCAAGAGCTGTAAAAGCATTTGCAAAGCTGCAATGTTGATGACAATATGTACGAATGACCCCACGTCCTACCTTTGTCTGTGAACGCAACACCCCTTACAGTCTCGACAACATCCACTTCAGAGATCTTTCCTTTACTAGGATCATTGGCTGCGAACAGCTTAACGAGGTGTAAGCAAAGGATAAGGTCCGCTATTTAGCTGAGAAGGATTTGCAACTTGTTTTTGCTCGAAGGTGGTTTTAGTAAACAGTGCGTAGCGTAGAATTGGGAGCCTATTATTTAAATTTACACTGCGTGATTCTGCTTGTGCACTCGGCCTGAGCACATTATAAGAAGTGCGGTAAATTTCACAGCGCTTGCTTTCTTTCGGATTCTCGATTTGCTTCGGAGCTAGTTGTGGCTTGTTGTGCTCGAAACCCCCTATGGCCTCAAGTTTCAACGAGCGACCTCTATATTTTGCTTTAGTGATTAGTTACCTGCCAGTAATCCAACCCTGACAGAATCGTGGCTTCTCTCTGAATGCCTATCGGTCCTATGAGACCTGTAGCGAGGTCAGTTGTACAAGTTCGAGCTCCTTTTCGTATACTGCTTGACTGATTTAGGTGAAACGGAAGTTTTGGTGCTCATGGGCGGGGACTTGTTCGGAAGTACGTGCTAGCGGGCACCACTTATCTTTCGCTCTTTTTACTATAGATACTCAATTTCGCCCCCAGATTTCCTTTGTCTCTAGCTAGAGATAGGAGTATAATCGGCAACAAAGATTTCGATAGAGAGTTTTTAAAAATAAAGTTTTCGGTTAGAGTTTTCGCATATGGAAACATTTAGCTTACACCTTGTGTTTTATGCTAAATTTGGATCCAAATTAACTAGTTTATTGTTACCTGCAGCTCTCAATCGTTCACTGATAATGGCGTCGCTAGCGATCCATAACTATAATACCTTTGGTCCAAGTTGGTTGGATAAAGCTCAAAGCAACATGCGACGTCAAGTTGAAGCTGGTATCAGGGGGTGGGTGATTTTTGGTATTGAATAGAGAGTGCATGTATTAGTTAACTAGCTGATTTGTATTAACAGAAAACCACCTAATGGATTGCTATAATCAAAGCTGTTTATAAACTAATACATTTCAAGGTTTCCTTTCGTTAACTCGTTTATAAATTTATTAAAATGCCTACATTTACCTCCGCCCTTTATAACGAGAGTTTCTTTCTTCAGCAAATGAGGGAAAATCAAAGGCGGTCGATGCATTTCGCTCAGTATCGATCCAAAAAACCCCTCCTGTCGCCTAAATCGGTATTTTACCACTGAATTTGTTAAGCTCCGCTACTAAAATGCTGCACTCTGTCCACCCACTTCCTTTCATTATAGGCAGCAATTACCGTGATGTAGGGTAGTAATGCATCCGCAAGTCCCCGAATCCCTTCAATAATCCTCTCATGCTTGAGTGTCTTCAATTCAGATGAATTTGAGTGCCTGACACATTCTAGAAGCCTTGAATGGCCCTGACCTCCTCGACCATGTTTCACTATTGCTGATTGTCGATACGAAAAGTTAATAACTTTTGTATTGCATCATATGGATCTCCTTGCAATCGCTATTCTCCCGCTCGAGTTACGCTTGCACCATTATTTCTGTCTTTTCTGCTGCTCTCACGATACTCATCTTTCACTGCTTGGGCTATTTTTCTTTATGTCCTGCATGATGCGTTCTTATTGTGGAGCATGGGCTCTCGCTCATTGATGAATCGCGTTCTCAGCAGTGCTATCGTTTCAGCGATATCGAACAGTGTTGTCATCACCCAGCTGGGATCACATCGCTATCCAGAAATGCTGCATTCCTATACTTCCTCGTATAAGACACTGATGGTTGACCAGAATTGCCATGGGTGAATTGTTGTTGCTTGTAGAGCCTTTGTTGATTCAGTTTTAGAATTGTGGTTGGTGTTATTACATCACGTTATCCCTTACAAGCTCCTTTTTCATAGCGATGCCAATTTATTCGATGTGTAGATATCTGTTTTGGCGTCTTGGAATGTGAGGCTGAAAAGGGCCCATAACTCAACTATCGACTTGAAATGTTGAGCTGACTGGATTATGTATTACCTAGTGCTCCGAGGCTATTCGTTGGTTCGGGGTATCGGGATTCTTAACGTCCTGGAATGGTTTTCAGCAGTTTTTGGGTGCTATTCGAAGGCCGTGTAGAGGGTCCAGTGTTGTATACTTGAGTCGGGTAAAATCTAGCTGAGCTGAAATGCAGTGTGAGAGTCAGCCGAGCCCGTCATAAATAAAAGAAGAGCTAGCGAAAATTACTGCTTCCCATTATTTACGATGCAAATTTCAGTAAATCCATTTTTGATTTCTGGATAGAAATCGTTTTATAGTTATGGATTTTTGATCTCGTTTTATTCTTAATAGCCATTGTAATCGTTTCGTTGTAACAGGAGTGTCTGACGAATTTACTTAACCGTTTATAAGTAAATTTCTCAGAATAGCTGAGAGTTCAAAGTGAATCGCCCCATCATCAATCGGGATATATTGACAGGTAATATTGTTTTTTGTTTAGGCATCGTTGTTTTGGATCGGCAGCGATCAACATGATGATGGTAGCGCAAGGCGGATGTGATGCGATGGTTGAGTACGGCATTCATGCTTGGGATGTGGCAGCAGCAGCGGTGATCGTTAGTGAAGCCGGTGGCTGTTTAATCGATCCAACAGGTGGGGAGGAATTGGTTTTTGAATTAAGTTTTTCCATAACACTGTCGTCACATGAACACAAGTGCTCTGTCAATTCTATCATTGCATAGATGTTTAAAATGACAGCCCCGGGGCCGAGCGCTATGCTCCGCTCTTCGTACAAGTTGTAGACTGNGAGCACGGAATTTGTGTTTCGAACCGTCTCTGACCCCAAGCTGCAGTTCTGTCCTGTACGAGTCGAGTTTCGAAGCAAGCTCTAGACCTACCATCCCTGTCCCTCTCTGCACCTGTCGGCCTCTAGCCATCGAGTACCCTTTTGGTGAGTATTCCATAATCCAATCGATTTTACATTTTTTACATAAAGGTTAAGCGGTAATACGTCACCCCAAAATGCCCCAGATTATCTCACGCCTAGCGAGGGGGTGTTCAATCGGTTTATCGCGGGTCGGATCCATCGAAGGATTAAACAGCTGTTTTCGGAGCTATCTTTTCGATTGTTTTGATCAGATGCAGAGCTTGCAAGAGTAATTCACTCTGAGAGCAGCTGATCAATTCAGTCGCATAACTAATTCAAAAGAATTGGTCTCTCTGGTCATTTTTAGTGCACCTTATTTTTTTTCGAGTGAGCTAAATATAGGCTCTATTACTGTCATTCCTAGACCTCTACCATGTAGACCAATATTGCCGGCTCAATTACCCAGAGATTAGGCAGAGTTGCTTTTTGCGGTCATCAGAGGCAAATTGTCGTTGTTGTTTTTTTTCTGGGCCTATTCGATGTAAGAATTTGCTCAGAGATATAAAAAGAGATGTGGAATGTGCCCAAACCGCTGGCAGTCGGCAGAAATGATTCATGTGCGGACTAGTTCGATTAGCCTAGCATTTGTAAAATGACACGATATCTTGCTACGTCCTGTCCTGCATGCTTCATTACTAAGTGAATAGCTAACGAGGCAAATCTGAGAGCTGACGATTTGCACCACAAAAAAAAGCTTTCACTTGCGGTCTTTCGGTAGTCAGAGTTTTTGCTTTCATCCGTGTGTATTTTGTTCTGAAGAAAAATCATTACATACGTTGCCTTTTGCCGACGCCGATCATCTCGCGTACGATCACTGTTTGTTTTATTGCTTTCCTTTTTTTCTTTTTTTTCATATACTTTTACGAAGATTCCAGCAGTGACTGGCCTAGTGATTCAGTGCAATTGTACCCTACCTGTCACTGACTGACTATAGGTAGAAGTAGTTGGCGAAGCGAGCGTTTTTACGTATATCGCAATGAAACCAAACATTCATTATTGATCGCAGCTGTCACGCGTATTGCTTTTTTGGTATTTGAAAGCCTGGGAAAGTTCGTAGAAAGCAGCCAATCAGATTTCAATGTCCTTGACCCATCCTTGATTTTTCTTATTTCGAGGCTCACAGCATACTGTTATAGTAGAAATGTAGTATCTTACATCTTGATATTGTTGCTTTAGGTGGACCATTCAATGTGATGTCTCGTAAGGTCCTTTGTGCAAGCACAATGGAACTGGCACGAAGTTTAAGTGGTCTCCTTACGCATGCCGAATATGAACCTGAAGGCTAGATAATGGAAAGGAGTAAAATCTTGTTCATTGAATAATAGTATCAAGAGTATTATGATTACAGATAGTCGTTCGTGTTCTACGTTATTAGGCGTATATTGTGGGTTTTATGCTCACTCAGATTATTACCTAACTAATTACCTTGTTCTCTATAGGGTGCAATGAGTAGTAATTAATTTGATTGTGATTTCCCTGAATGGTGATCTTCATTTTTTTAGAAGGATCTTTCAGTCCGAGATATGGTGGAATTGTTGTCCATATGATAAATTCATTTCAAATCGCGATGTTGTAAACTCATTGAGCTGTTCGATCGATCAGCTGAATTTATCGTTTTTGTTGATCAAAATATATTCATTTTGTATTAAATTTTTTACCTCTACAGTTGCAATCTGAGAAGATCTGGTGGCAGCGCAATGGCTGAGGCTAATAAGAGCAACCAGTTCACTCAGGAGGAGGTACAAGGTATCATCAAACAAGTGAGTGATTTTAATAATCTATTTTCATGCCATCATTTGAATTACNAGCACTCTTTCGATGCTATTTGAGCTGTCAGTCAAACTCAATTGTTCTTTTTTGGTGCTTTATTGTTTACCAGCTCTTTGCATTCTCTAATGACCACGATCCCTTAGATCAGTCTGACTATTGAATCCACACCTTGGACTGTAGTGGAAATTGTGATGAGCTGTAATCGCAGTTTACCGCAATTTGGTATGCTAGAAAGATGTTCAGGCTCAAGGAGAAATCTATTTCCTGAGCGTCTTTATTTATGCCTAAAAACTAGTTGAGCAAATTATGAGAAGAACACCACAATCATTTTTGATGTTCATGTTAACTATTCTTTTTGTTCTTCATCTCGATTGTTTAACGCTGGATATTGCTATTTTACCTTTTTCTCGGCTCAAAGTCGTTTTATTCGTGAAGTTTTCCTTTGCATGGTTGAAATAATGATAATAATTCCGAGGGGTGCTTTATTGACTGGAACACTTTGGCAAGATTGATTCCGTGGGCTCAGTTTTCATTAGAACCCCTCCCACTCCACTCTAGTGATAGTGAGAGAAGAAGGCGATATGACATTCGCGTCGAACTCTCCTTTTGAATAAGTTTGATTTATACAAGTGTAGCACCAAACTTTTTATTGAGCATCTTCGGGGTTCATTGCATGAGCCAGTGATAGGCATGATAGCCAATCCACTACGCTTTTGAGTGGAAGTCGAGTGCACGGCTGACCCTGAAAAGTTCCCGGACAAACTCTTACATTCCTTTTATTTTTACCTCACTTTTCATTCCCAACAAACCAGCCAGCCCTACAGTACTATATGTTGAACGTCGAAATTTTTTCTTAAATGTGTGTTTTAGCGTTTATAATTCAGTGATCGGCATAGGTTTCATTGCTGTTTCTGAAGTTCAAAGTTTTATTTACCTTTTTTCGGGCTAATGAATGACGTGAGTTTCAGGTTCTGGATGAAGTGATCGGTTTGAGTCCTTATAACTATGCAGACAGCCTGAACTGGAACAAGCAGGCTGTGGAACAGATTACAAAAAGACTTGTGGCACTGAATAGACCATATAAGTACATAGGTGGGTATTCCTTGCTGACCTTCTTATTATTGAGCTTGAGTAGGGCTGCATATTAATTGTACTATTTCAGTAAATTCTTCACTCTTACAAATTGGTTGTGGAACTGGTATGAATGTGAGCACGATTTCGTACTGGAACAAAGCGACTGATCGTAAGTTGATGTTGCTCCATAGGGCTGCTTTTTTTCTCTTGCTTCGACATTCTTGCATACTTTTAGATGTTAAGATTTCGAGGTTTTTTTCAGCTTTTCAAAGGCATCTTTTTTTATTGTCACATCAACGGCACGTGCTGAGCATTGATTGGTTTGAAGCGGCCATAGTAAATAAGTCTTTGTGATAAAGAGCAGTTTAGCGTCCACCGTAACTGATTCTAAAGACTACCTGTGGGACCCATTGGGAAGGATTTCATGTAAGATTTTGATCAGCCTCTTCTTCTTCCTCAGAAGGCGAGGAGTAGAATGCTGATAGGAGCTAGCATTGTGGTGCAACAATTTTAGCTGAATCCACAAGAAGTGAGATTGTGAGCGGTGATGCAGTATAAGGGTTGACCATCGACTGCTTAAGGTGGCAGCGATCGATAGTCATTATTAACGGGACAACTGACGGCTTGACGTGCTTGTAAGCATGACAGGCAGGGGTTGGCGAAATTGCATATACGTGTCGAACACCAAGTACGAAGTTCAAGCAATATGTCTAAAAGGTATAATGCGTGAGCATGAAGCGAGGTTCCCAGCCTCCGCCCTGCGTCATAATTTCTTCTTGTGGACATTGGCGATGTTGCTAAAATTCATCTTTGGGAACGACTATCAGAAAAATCTACCATTCGACATGCAGTTTTCATTGAAAAACTGATTGTTGATTAAAGGTGTCGCCCCGATAGGACCAACTCACGTGCAAAAAGGAGTGAAGGAAAGCCATGTCTCGCACATTGCTCCACGAAGCAGTAAGGATTTTTGGGTCTGCCCATTCTCTGGAGATGTGATTTCTTGGTTTTTCTTTCCTTCATTATGCCACGTAAATTAGCAACCGAATGATGACGATGTTAAGTTTGCCTCACGCCTATACAATGGCCTGTGGGAGGCATCCCGGAACAACCAAGTATTTTCATTTTNCTAGCAGGTATCGTTAAAAGTATAGGCACGAATAGAGTGTAAAGCCCCGTAGTTTCAGATGGAGTTCAATCCGCTATTTCATTCTGTACCCGGTAGTAGGGAATGATATACATTACTCCAGCACTCAGTTCCAATGGAAATTATCTGAAATTATTTTTTGTATTGGCTAAATGAGTTGTTGTGGAATTGTGCTTATTCCTGGAATGCAGTCGATTTCAGAATCGTGGCAGTATCGCTGGGAAACGAAGAATATCCTGGTCGTTGTGTACGTGTATGCGTTGGCGACTTCGTAATAAACGGGAGATAAAATGATATCACTTTGCAGCTATTCATTTTGATTTTTTTGTCTGCCCTTACGATATGTGGCCTACGTTGTACTTGCGATCATCATCATCATCATCATCTTATTTCGTCTTCCCTTCATCCTCCTTAGTTGTATCCGGAGATGTGTAGTGAGCAGAACGAATGACTTGGTATTACGTGCTTCTGTATTCACCATCGTTATCATTATGTTCGTTTTCGTTTTTGCCGGCAGCCATGGGAATTCCTTTCGCCGCTCCGCCGCCTTCAGAAGTACGGTCTTCTTCCATCTCTTTCTCTTGTCAATGTTCATGACAGAGAGGCTTTTAATATGTCTTGATATATTTTCCATACTCACAGATATTTTTCGCAATTGTTTTGAAAACGTTATCCGCATATGTTGTCTGTTGAATTAGTTTTTGGCGATTACCAATTGACTATCATGTCATACGCCACGTTTTCAGCTTTCCATTAGGATTTTGTTGAGTAGTAGTAAAGGTAGTAAGGTTGAGAAGATTACGCCAAGCCGCTTATGCCCGCTCGCCCGCCCGCCTTTCATGTGTGTGTGCGCGCCCGTCGCTCGCTACCACGTTTTTCGATCACCATCGTCACCCACCACATCATCACGCCAACACCGCCAATCACTTATTGCCATCGTCTCCGAATTACTCGAGTATTTGATGGGATGTGCTGAGAGGTTGTTGTGTAGCGTGATGTGTAGCCATAAGATTGATAGCTTCACTTGTAGATGTAATTGTCGCGGCCGTCGTCGTCGTTCATGAACGTCGTCGTTGTCGTTGATCAATTGAGTAATTCTCTCTACCTTTTCTTCATCGTTCGCTCCCTGATGTACCGGTTCTGTTATCGAAAGTTTTATTTCTAACTTGTTTTTTTTTTTGCATATTTTCCTATAATGAAGAAAGTTTTATTGATTGTGCTTGTGTAATTGGTAGTGTAGTAAAAAAGGAAGACAAACAAGTTGTATCATGTTGATCTAGCATTCCAAAGTACACGAACCGGTTTCAAAGCCGGTACTTTCCAGCTAAAAATTCTAATATGGGTTTGGGTTAAGCTGGGTAGCTCCAAGGAAGAATACCCAGTTTCTTGTGTGTATTTTAGCGATTTCTATTGCTCCCACTGGCGAATGGAATGCTGAGCTCTGATTACTTAACCCAGCTTGACCTGTAAGTGTCCTGAGATTTGATCTGGGAACATCGTTCCAGCCGATTCGCCATCACCGGGCCTGTCAAGCAAACTGTCAAAAACCAAAATAAAAAAAAAAAACAAAACAACTTTTTTTTGAATGCTTTACTGTGAAAACCATCAATACCCATATTTTGTGTACAATCAACAAATAAAATTAGATGAAAGCTTACTATGAGCAAATCTCGAATGATGGAATCACGTCAAGAAAGAACTCGAGTCTATCCTAATCAAGGATACATGGCAAAAAGTGGAAGTGTACGTGGTGCACATTTGCAATAAAGACCGTCCCGTCCAGGAGCTCCAGGATTACCTGGATTTCCGGGTTTTCCTCTAGCACCTGGCATTCCGGGGAGTCCAATTTCTCCCACAGGACCACTTTTTCCAGGCTTGCCAATGTTTCCAGTCTTTCCTGGAGGACCGACTTTACCTGGCTTACCAGGTGGACCCCTTGGCCCGGCTGGTCCAGGATTCTTGGCACTCCGCATGCCGGGGCGGCCTCTGGTTCCTGATTCACCAGGAAGTCCTGGTTCGCCCGGGTATCCTTTCTCACCTGGTGGGCCCATAGGACCCATGGCGCCTTCTTTTCCAGGTTGTCCAGATGGTCCTGTAAGGCCTGGTGGCCCAGGAGGACCTTGCGGTCCACTTGGCCCAGGCAAACCCGGTGGTCCAGCACGACATCTGATACACTGCTTCAGACCTATAGCAGGAGGAGGCAATTGATAGCCCAGCGACACGGCTTCCGCGAAACTTATTGGTGGTCGAATTGATGGTGGACAGCCCATAGGACCGACTCCTGGTCGTCCACTCTCTCCTGGCTTACCTAAACATTAACTTTTTTTAGTAAAGCCGTACCATAATCATTATAGAGGAAAAAATGGTGACCTTTGCAGGATGTTTTTGCATCGCTGCACTTCAGAATCTCAGCGCCTAGTAGGAAGGGCAAATTTTGTATAAAGTTCCCCGTACGAGCTGTGAAATATGTCCTGTGAAGGGGTCATTGATCACAGATTCACGCGATAGAGCGGCTAAGTCGCGGTGGAACCCTACGAGATGCCCCTTCCCCTTCTCTACAAAAACACTTGTAATCGGGAATTTCAGTACTCAATCAGACGAAAAATAAAATTTCTGCCGAATTTCTCGCGCAAAACAGCAAGATTCGACCTCAGCGGAAGCCTCTACAGTAATGTCCAAAAAATGGAAAAGTAACGGAACACGAAAGCAAAAAAAAACAATTATAGTTGCCTAAGGACTTACCAGGAAGTCCAGGGGGTCCAGGTGGTCCTTTGAGTCCAGGAGGTCCCTTCGGACCAGGTGGACAGATATTTTCGAGCGGTTCACACATGCACCAGCTGGGAAGTCCACTGTATGACTGACGTTTTGGTCGGAAAATGGATGAGGCGTCTTCAGAAGCCGACGACGATGCTGCCAGAGAAGTCAGTGAGAACTGGTAACGCATCATTTTTGACCATGCTGAATCGGTATCCATTCGGAAATCCTGCACTGCTTCAAGTACCTGAAATCCAATTGCTAACGAATGGTCCTGGTTGGAGTAGAACCATATACCTACCGTATCATGAATGCCATGCATTTCCCGGAGGAGTAGCGGCATGACGACGCCGCACGCGACGGTCGCGATCAATGCGCAGGCGGATGCCACCCAGCTGATGAGTCGCTCCTCGAACAATGCTGTCATAGTCAGAGCTCGTACTAATGAATGGGTGTGAAGGCTTTTAAAGGCTGACCCTTTCCATAGTACCGCCTTCAAGATCGTATCGCCGACCGAATTTGTTTAGTTGCACACGGGATCTCGCTCATAAATAGCACTTTAAAGTCGTTTTGAAAAGGGAAAAAGGATCATTTTCCATGGTTATACTTCACTTACGAAGAATGTGCGAAAATACAACGACTGAACAGGTTGTCGCAGAAACTCCGCGAAGCCTTGGCGCCAGGTTATACGGAAAACACTGGACAGTTGGTTCTGGCCAAGGGTTGGGCAAAGTTTCGATTTCGCCTTCAACTCGCCATCCTTCCATGATCGCGAGAGCAGTAAAAAGCAATTTTAAGAGCCCTTATGATAGCCAATCAGAGGAGTGGAGTTCAAATGAAGGGGCATAACTGTGAAGAATTCATTTGCAAATCTATGTAGGTAATCGCGAATCGAGGAAGTGTGGAATCAATCGATACGTATCGAATGTTAGCGGGGGATTCCATGATTTCCCACTCCCCACTAAAATGAGACCCTTAGCCACATAGCTGATCATCGGTAAAAGTCCATTGCTGTAAAAATGCTTCAGTTGAGCACGGGTCCTCATGATTTTCTCCGTTGCACACAGGGAGGAGGTGCTAGCGATAGGCGTGGCATCCCACGTCCGAAGTATATTATAAAGACATCTAATTATATTAAGTTAGCATAGTTTTAATTTATAAATAAGCATTTTTACACTTCGGTTTTCCGGATTTGTCTCCAATCAAGCATGGATGGATGACCCAAAGCTTGTTAGCACTGCAAGTTCGCCGAATAGACTCATTCTATATCTGCGGTCTCGCAGACAATCGCCGATACCAAAGGACTTTTGGAAAGGTACGATACAAAGTTGATGTTTTGTGAATTCATGTTTTTGCGTAGGTATGTATGTTTGTAGGTTCAATTTTTCTGACTGACCGTTCGAATCACTCCACGACGGTTCAAGAGGGATCAGATCGAGCTATGTGCTCTCAATATAACTTGGACTCAAAGGATGCTGAGTTTTTCCGTTTAATCTGTATTCGCCTTCGTGTTGTTACTGACCTTAACTCGAAAGATAGTCATGCCTTTGAAAAGTGAAAGGTGGTAAACGCCCCATGCACTTTTGTGGCTATCTGGGATGATGGCGAGCAAAGATGGGGCGATGCAAACTAAATATCATAAAATATTATAGCTAATAGTAATAAGTGGAGGTGGTGTGGTACCGATTGGCGCATTATCTCACACGCATGGTTTGGGCTTCAAATCCCCGTTCGATACCGTAGCATCCTGATACGGGATTGTAACGCCGATTGCCCAAGACTTTGAGAAGAATAATAATAATTGTCAATAACCGCTCGTTCGTTTGCGAAAGTTGGACAGTGGTAGGTAATCCGGTTAAAATTCCTCAAATGGATTTTTCCGTTCCCTCATTCGGTCGTCGGGTACTGAAATGATGGATCCTCACTCATGAGATTTTTCCACAAATCAAATGTGCATATCTATTCCGGCCAAGATACAGATGCACAGCTCATCTTGGTAGAGTTCCACCAATGTTTAAGAGATTCACCTCGCTTGTTTCGGTTGAATGTAGTTGTTTGAAAGTCACTGACAGGCGTTCGCTTTATCTCCATGTCAATCTACTTAAGCAGCAACGATCGACGGCTACAGTCGAAGTGAAAAATGAATTTAGCCCGATTTTTTCCCCCCGAAAATGGATGACCTTTGAAAATGCGAGAAGAGGTGTTATAGCAACCATAAAAAGAAGAAGAAAATCGTTTGCTGGGATAAGACCTGAAAGGCATGATTCAGAGAATGTTCTCCTTTGAATGTATGTAAATTTGGCCCTTTAAATATCTTATTTGCCTTATTGTTACCCTTGTAAAAATCTAGTTATGTTAGAGAAAAATATTACAGAAAATTGCACACATTTGCATATTTACAAGTGGGCGTGGCCAAATTTTGATTGGAAAATAGGTCGTATGAAATCGAGCATAATTGGACAGCAAAATAGAGAATGTTTTAGTGTGGTACCCGGCTAAGGGGATAAACCTTTATCGACAAGTTATACGAGCCTGAGCATTTTACTGTGTTTATTATCTGAATGGAAACCGAGTGCATGGCTCATTGATGTGATCTTCCTTACTCTTCTACTGAAGGGACTCAGAACCGGGGTCATGCGTGGTAATTAAAAAATTGTCTATCGGAGGGGGTAAATCGGTGGTGAAACTAGGTATGCTTCGAACTATCAACGGGGGTCCTCAGTTGATAGTTGTCTCACAAGGTATAAGCCAAATGTGGTCCATGATATGGGTTCACTCCATCTCTTAGAAAACCTTTCATTCCGACCCTCAATGGTAATAAAATGCGACCTCGCTAGCGATTCCTAACAAGGCCTCTGACGGAAGTAAAGCTGTATATCGGTGGACCAGCGTACGAATTTCCGAGCGGTACGAGCGGTATAATCACGTCGCAGGACGAGTCACTCATGGCTGTAAAAATCAAGCTGGGTCTGTTTCGAACTTACCCACAAGTCCGCATTTCAATGAATTTATCGCCTCGAGAGTGGAGGAAAAAATAGTGGGCTGGACGGCCGAGGTCACTCATTCAAAGCACAATCGTAACAAGCCGTAGTAGAAGAACAATTCGGTATGGCCTTTATTGCTGAACAATATTGCAAAGCTCCCCTCCGATGGTACGGCCATATCCTCGCGAACGAATGAACACGGTGTGGAAGTCTAATTGGTGTGCCCGGAAAACGTCTTAATGGACGTTCATATCAGTGCTGGCTTGTCACTTTGCAAAAGTACCCGAAAGAGTGGACCTGGCCTTCATCTCGACCGAGCATCCCGCTGGTAAACGTGACGCTGGCATATCATAAAGTAGCCCTGACTACCTGAGGTACAAAGGGAAGAAGAAAAACGATCACTTTGATAACCAGATGAACGAAATGGAAGTGATCATGCCTATCCCAGCAACAAGTCACGTGTTATCCTTACCTATTGCGAGAACCATGTGTTCCAATTTTTTTTGATTTTCGATTACATGAACGGTTCTCACTGTTTTTTTGTGTGAAAGGATAGCTGCGGATTTCCAGGACATAATACTGTGCAGGAGAGGAGGGGTGTAGTAGCAAATGGCCCTGCCATCGCTATGCCCTATGGTCCGGATATCGAATCTTGCATCGGTATAGGCCCAGGCCTAGCAAACCATCCTTTCTAGGTCCCTTAATTGATACCAGACTCGTTTGGGAGGATAAAAACACCGGTTTGTGCCTTGGCTGGCCACCGCAAGTCATTGCCCACATATGCATTAGAAATGAGGTTCTGGATGGGATTCGAATGCGGGGCGCAGCCCAAAAACGAAATCAATTGACGCTGAAGGCTTTGTCCTTCGAAGAGATACCTATTGAGGCTAGGAAAAAGATGATTTGAGAGAGTGCCATTCCGAATTCAAGCGAAAAGTGAAATTATACCAAGCAGGACAGGTTGGTAGAAACGCCACTCACGGTACCTAATTTGCCAGCCACTAAATTCCGCTATCTTTTATTATAGTCGTTATGATACATATAGAAAAGTCTTTTCAGAACCGTGAGCATTCTTATCTTACTTCCCACATTGTCCATAAAGTTTACGGCGGTGGGATTCAAATACAGTACTGGTTCTGTCAAAGGCAATTTAATACGATACTCTATTCCCTTCCACCTGTATGTTCTCTACCAATTATTATTCAGTGTTTTGTAAGGGAATGGGTGAAAGGAAGAATTGGACGACGTTGCTCGAGCTATTTTTGAACTACGCCATGCCCTAAACTGACTTTCAGAGAAATAGCTCTGGAAGTGCCATCAGCTGGGATAGTGGATCGCGAAGATCAGCCGGCGTTGCTCCTAGAAATGTCCAGTACCGACTCGCTGCCTTCAGAAGGATGGAAAATCCGCCAATGCTGGTAAGATTTCATCCAATATCTAGTCGAGCACATCTGTGGTAACAGCTCTACTTGCCGCTGTAGGCATTTCGCTCTGATCGACCTAAGGGGAAATGGAGATAAGGCTGGGAGTAGAATGGCTGATTGCCATAAAGCTAGGTACTAGTCTTCATGGCAGCTCTGCTGCGAGGTTTTCTTTGAACTGTGCCCATCGAGAAAGGACTTCCATGGAAACTATGGTACTTGTGTCTTACTTCTCCTCATTCTGGCCAACTTTCCGTTGTGATCCCTAACCACCTAGTCTCTGTATATAACTGAAACGCACTTAAATGGCTCTACAATTCGATTGATGGTCTAATACTTTGCACGCCGTCTCGTGAGCGAATTTATTAGCGTCAAATATATAGCTAAATACAGTATAATTGATCGATTTATTCACTTCACTTGAGCATAGGCGCCTTCTTTGTTCGTGTTCTTTCCTGAATGGGACTGAATGCATGGAGCACTGCTGGCGTTTACTTAATTCACCATTCAGAGTTCATTCAATGCTAGGACGGAATATATCTAATCCTCCTAATAAGGCGGCTACATAGGGTGGTTGGATAATGGTGCCAGCAATCAACCTCCGCCTGACATTGGAAATAACTGCTCATGCTGCCCGTCTTAAGCGTGTTTGATATTGGCTTTTTCACTAGTGCTAATTTTACGAAACTCATTTGGCCTGAGCCATGCATTTGTGTATCATTTGAAATTGGACTAGTTTTGAGCTGCGTAGGCGTCTTACATTTATTGCATGTTTTACTCGACGTCCCAGGCAATGTTGGGTGTTAATCTTACATTGAAGCATTATAGGACCTCTAGTCAATATCGAGCGATGAAGCGTTCATAAGTAGTGCGAAGGATAATTGGGGTTTGCATTGTCACGGTTCATGCCTCAGCGAAGGTGGGTCGGTGGAGAAATCTCTGAATCGACTTTCTAGTGAAAAATGTTGATGGGACCACTAAGAAAGTGTGAAATCGCTCGATCTAACTTTTTCCATATTTTTCGAAGTTTTTCGATGACAGAGTATCCCAAAGAACGGCTGAAGATTGAAGATTGCAGTCGCACCATAGAAGCCGTTCAGGTTCCATCGTCGCCTCTATCGCAACAGGTTCCACAGTGACAAAGTAGGTGAGTGTACTTGAATTAAAAGGGAAATAGCGATTAAGAGGGGAAGGGACTAACTCTATAAATCTAGGGCGCTATGTATTAATCGCCTTTTGAGATAAGCCTTTACTTTGAGCCGTTTTTACTTGGAAATTAGTAGACGCTTGTCTTATTCAACGCATTGTCCACCCAGCTCATATACAAGTCAGCCCTTTAACTCTTCAGTGGCATTTACCCGACTCACGCACAGTGGAGGACTTGTTTCTGTACGATACTACGTCCCCAAGTGGTGAGTGTAATAGCTGCAGTACTTGTACCTACTCCTTCTCCTTACTCCTTTGGGCTGATTTCATAGTCCGCCGGCCGGAGGCGGCCCTTTCCCCTTGTTTACAACTGAATCTTGGTCGATACCGCTGGCCGAGTAGTCCCTCGTCCGCCGGACTATGAAAGCAGCCTTTAAATCATTGAAGGCTAGAGCGCAAGGAAAGAAGGCTAGCCAAACTTACTTGTGCTTAGAGATCGTTTTTAGCCAAAAGGATATTGTTTTTACCTAAGTTTCAGAACTCGTGCACAAAGGTGAGATGGGATAAGAATTGAACATCCATTTGGCTCACCCGCTCCGGAGCTCCTTCCCTTCCCTTTAGATTAAAAAACACATTTTAATATAAAAAAGCTATAAAAACCTCCGAGACACCATTATGGGCTCGCAAAGTCGGCTAGTCTTCCTTCTCTGCGCCATAGCCCTCAATGATTAAAAAGAGCGCCCATTCCCCCCACCCCCCTCCAACTACTCTTTTACCCTTCGGTATCTAATTCATGTAAAACATCTATGTAGAAGTTTCAATAGTCATTGTACCTCTTCCTAATCTCTACACAGCATTTCTGGTAGCCATCGTTACGGTCAGAAACCCTCTTCTGAGTAGTCATGAAAGCCATCTGGTCTAAGTTGTTCGCTTAGGTAGCCATGCTGTATAAAATCTTCGGGAATCCGCAAAGGGAGAACCGATGGTACTCGAACATCGTGAATGGTAAGCTCAGAAACTTAGCCTTTTAAGCAATAAGACGATTTCCCTTTTCTCCCGGCCGATCGTTACCTGACTAGTCCCTGTTGGGTGTTTCCCATAGAACAAACTGCCACTAACCTAACTCTAATTTGCACTCCAGTAGTAATGTCATCCACCCATTAATCTTATTGTCAAATTTTCCTTCAGCGTAAAACACAAAAACAATATTTAGCCCAAATGTGTGTCTGTTTTAGTACTTTAAGCTTAGATGAATCGAATGAAAGTTTCAATCCAGTGCTAACCAGTTACCTATCACAAAAATAACTTGTTCCGCTGTCTACCTCATTGTAATACCTCGACAACAATCAACAGGCATCGATCTTATTCTTTGGTGTCTGTCGTATAACTTGGTTTTCATTGCGTTGATCGTCCCACGTTCCATAGAACATCGCTCAGCTAACCTGATTCAAATCCTCTCTCAAAGCCAGATCACATTCATCGGTAGACTAGACTTTCTCTTTTGTTTTTTATACTTTATTGGTCGTCCCATTATTATGATCAGAGATCGCACTCAATCAAATCAGAAAATCAAATGCATAGACACAATAACCACGGAGGCACGCCCACCACGACATTTACAAGACCAATACTTGCAAGCTTACGCTCGCTACAAGAATAGCATGAAAAGAAACATCATTATTAATATTGTACAATGATCATGATCATCAGTAGCGTGCCACACATATGGGGCACATGTGTGACACATGCAAACTATGAAAAACGTGGGGTGAGGAAAGAATGAGGTATTGTGAGCTGAGAAGTACACATACACACAGGAATCGTGTTATAAGTGTTTACTTCGTCTTAGCCTTTCCGGACTTTTTTGGCGATGAACCGGATGATCCTCCAGCTTTGTATGCGGCCATTTCTTTCTCGTACCGTTTCTTCTCCTCGGCTGCCATTTTTTCCCATTTCGACTTGTCCTTCACTGTAGCCCATTCAACACCGGCGGCCTGAAAGAACCACAATGTTCAAACATTCAAAATCCATAAACAATAAAATGTCAAATTTCTAAGGTCATATAACTCACCCGGGACACATCAACAACGCTCATTCCTGGCTTGGACAGTTTAGCGCGGTTCTCGTTCAACCACAGCATATAAGCGGATTGAGCGCGTTTCGGTGCATTCGGGTCCTTCTTCTTCCTCTCGGCCTTCATCTTGGGCGACTTGACTTTTTTGGGCGATGAGGCAGCAGCAGTCTTCTTTGGGCGACCCATTGTACTATGCGCTGAAAGAACAATAAACCTCACTCGAATGAGCCTAGGCACTGGGAAACGAGTTACCATTGGGCGTATGAACAACAAACACATCAGATAAGTAGAGTTGGAGAGAGGTTCAGATGGGAGATGGGCAATCTTGGCCATCAAGATTGAATTGGACGCAATGACCCACCCACACGACCATAGGGGACAAAAACTATGTAGCTGAGTGACCACGCCAACGCTATGCACTCGCGCCCTTTTCGACCAAAACGCTAGTGGGCGTGGTCTCGCTAGACAGCGCGTCATAGTGAAGACGCAGGTGGCTAGCGTGACGAGGCAGAATGCGAAAAGTGGGGTGCAGAAGACATGAAGAATGGCGCGAATTCAAAATGCTCCGAATGAATGGGCACGCTGCCAAGGAACAGTAACGCTGTTAGCAACGCTTTTGAATATGAACAGATGGACCTTAATGGGTGATGGTGATGATGGATATACGATGGGGGAGGATTTAACACATGAGAATATCGCTTCAATTGCTAGATGTGAGTAATTACAAAGAAAAGCGTGCAAAGAAAGGTAATTACTGTCTACAACATAACCAAACTTTTTCGTTTAGCAATAAAACCAATAAATAATATAGTATTCAGGTCAGTGGAATTCCGCTAAGCAGAAATAAATTTTCGATTTTTCAGATGTCAGGAGTAAAAGTGAGCGGAACATTCCGTGAGAAAAAAAACGAAATGCCATGGTGTTTTGAAGAAACGCAAGTCGAAAGGAAGAATAAATGAAGGATTTTCTTTGTAATACTGAAATCGTCTTCTTCAAAAGAGGCTTTTTTAAAGATCGGTTTCTTTTCAGATATAATTCCAAGGGCAGCGGCAGGTACCAATCAGTCCAATTACAATCAGTGCATTTGTAGATCATTGCGAATACAATGGGATTCGAAGACCCTAACTTGTAGTTTCTCTTCTTCTCTTAGTTGTGAAAATCTCTAAAGAAAAAGCCAAAAGTGGATCCGATAAAAAAGTCTTAAGAATGATGCCAGAAATGCTAAAAAAGAACAACCAGTCGCGAATCCAGAATGCTGTGAGATATTTGGAATATTTTGGGACCTACAAAAGTTCCACAATGGGCTTGGTGATAAATGAGCTGGTTACTACTTTAGAGAACCCAAATTTAGCACCATTTTTAGAGAAAATAAATGGACTTTTAGAATATTGTACCAATAACGTGAANGTGAAAATTACTTAGAAGCTCTTAATAAAACTTGTCAGAAGTTGTATAATAATAAAATGCCGAAAGTGATGAGTAATCTCGTTATTTAGGTCGGTCTGGAAGTAGCACAAACAGTCAAATTTTGAACATTTTCTGCATGACAATTCTGTTAGTTGATTGTAATTTAAAGTCGCTGAATGACTAAGAGATATTATTGAAATTCTAGAGTCATTATTAAAATCCTAAAAGAAGGGAATAATATACTATGAAAAAGCTATTAATTACAGACTGTTCTATTTAGAAGGGTAACCTATGACAATGCGCGCTTTAGCCTTGGACTTGCAGCTTCCGACTGAGTAATAACTATAAACAGTAACAAAATGAGAAATCAACCAACGCACTTGAGCAGTGAACAATCTAAATTTCTTTTCTAGAGAGATCAACAATCTTCTCTGTTTAGTTTCAAACGTCTTTTTTTTGTAAATTTGTACCCCTTCCGTCCTTATTAGAATCTTCTCTTCGGGTGAGAAATACTTGAAATGCATTTTCGCATCTTTCAAATTTCGTTGCTGGGGAAAAAAGACGATTTCCTATTGTTATTTTTGATAAATCGTATATCTAGGGTTCAATTAGTATTAAAGAATGGTGTCGCAGTGATGAGGCCTTTGGTGTCGCTATGCACACATCCATAGGCCATAAAGGGCTTCCTACCCCACAAGAGCAGCTGGCAAATCGATGGAATACTTGCTTATAAAAAAACCGAAAAAAATTTCATGAATTAGTTGCAGGCCCAAGCAAATTCATGCATTAGCCCAGAAGATGTTCAATTGTTTCTGCGATTCTGAATGAAAATGAAGTGTGTCCCACACTCGAAATGAGTTGCTAACTTGAAAATTGAGCTTTTCGATCGTTTTATTCCAGAACCTATAAGTTTCATCACGTAGCTCAAGTATATTGTGAAGGCGCCGTCCAAATCGGGAAGTTCAAAGGATTTAGTCTGATTTTGACCCAGACCATATACTGCTATAGGAGCTATTTTGCCAGAGATTCGCAACAAGAGCAGTTATTTTCGATTTGTCCAAAATGGGAATTGAATAGTTTTGCGTCTGCTGTCTTCATTCCTATCGACAGGTGACGACTTCAAAGTTATATAGTTTGACAGCTAAATGATGAGTAGGCAAAAAAAATATCTTGAAGTGTATAAGGTATTCGTTTAATAAGGGAATACGGGAGGCTTGGTAATGATAAAGGGAATTGGAATTGTTCCAAGTAACTCTTTTGAAAGTAAAGATGAATACTGACTAAACTAGGGTTTGGTTTTCAACCGTATACGACGTAAAGGACACAAAAAAGTCAAGTTCGAAGCTGAAAACAGCAAGAAGTGGGTTCATTGTTACCATTATCACATGCTAAGTGCATAGTCATGTTTATAACTATTTCGGCGATAGCGTGGGAAGGCAAGTGGCGCGCTACACGCATGACCGGTGATCGAATCCTGCATGGACAGTTCAACTACGCTTTCCATCTCTTCGCATTCGACTAATTGGTCTAGGAAGATAAAAGCACTGACTTGTATATCTGCTGACCACTGTATTGCATAGTGTCGGCGAAAAACGCATCCAATGCGCCACTACGATCATGAACGAAAGTCGAATGCGTGGGCTCACTCCAACCAAAAACTCTACCCTTTCTCCTCCTCCAACTTCTCCCCTATTGATGTTTCCGCTTCTTTACTCGCTGTTCTGAACAGGAAATTTTCATCAAACGCCGGGAAAAAATAACTTGTAACTCTTCCGTTCAGGTGCCTTGTCGTTCGGTGTCAGTAACATCGTATTTTTTTTATTTTTGGAACTTATTCAGCGTGGTGCAATAGAGCTTCAGTGAGATTTCTTGGGTTTATAATTTGACTGCGGTACCAGTCGAGAAATCCCAGAGTCGTTTCATCAAATCACTTTCAGCACAAAATTAAAAAAAAAAACTCGGATTTTGGCCACGTGAAGGGCGAACCTTAAAATTTCACTTATGAAAACTGTTCAGGTACCGTTCTGAGGTTTCTCTACGAATCATGTTATCAGTCATCTTTCAAACTGTTGCAAATTTGACGGAAATCAACTTCATTTTATCACAATTCTGATTGGCAGGTTATCAACTCAGTGAATCAAAGTCGGCGACATCTACCCGTTTCATATTTCTAAATACAGACTTTCTCACAAAGTTATATCGTTTGCTAAGTCGTGGCTACGTTTAGGTTGCCTATTCATGCTTGTATGTGTGATGTAGGGGTCAGCACAGAAATGATGTGAGATGTTGGCTTAGGCGTTCGTCGAGGACATTCGCACAATAGCGAGGCATCGTTCACACAGAGAGGTCAGACAAGGGGCTAGCGATGATTAGACTGCCTGACGTTTGGTCGTGCATACTAATAATAATGGTACATCTGCGACTTTAGTCAGATAATTAGGCTCAGAAGTCTAGTGCTAGCGTCTATCTGTAGCTTTTTGCTTTTGAAAAGTTCCCTTTTTCAGAACAACTCCCCCGTCTCCTCGACATATCGGAAGGTATCCGGGCAATTCAGTGAACAGTAATCAACAGCAGAACAAGGACCGTGCAAACTAGTCGTACAGTTCAGGAAAGCGTACTAAAGGCAATAATTAAGTGGACGTATTACAGAGTTCTCGAAAATAAGTGCAGGTCTCTGATAACGTGAGCTTCTGGACGAGTTTCGTGTTCAAAACCCATGCATATAGATAGTGCCAATGAAAATTACTGTTGTACCGAATCCCGGTCGGGTTTAGAGCAGTTGGAGAATCATGGCCTTTATGAGAACTGACTTCTTGTAAACAAAGGACTGAATGTTTTCTATTGCTTCGTGAGGGAGTATGGAATGTGGCCGGAATGAAAGATACAAAGCAAAGCGCTTGTAAAACAGAACAGAACCTGAAGACAGGACTCACTGGCGTAAAAAGGTACTACGAACTTGCCACAATGGGTGTGAAGTCGAGCATTAGAAGCGTTATTGTAAGAAGTATCTCTAGACCGACATATATTGCTCCAATGGGATGTTTTTCAGAGAAGATCTTGCAAGCAATAAAAGGTTCTATAGATTTACTACTATTGAAAACGGGGCAGCGTTTACAGTCGGCTACGTGGCGACAATGGCGAAAAAGAACAGATATTTATCGAGTGGAAGAGTTGCAAAGCTTTTCATGTGAAAACCCAATGGACGTGTTCCAATCTTCATTTTCCCGATCAGAATGCCTCAACTGTTCTTTTCCACAGGTTTGGTTATCCCACGAGGGCGCGAATTATAAACGCTACCTCACTATTTCAGGTTACTTACATTGGGAAAGCTTTCTTAACCAATTCCGTATTGCAGTTATTAAAAGCTGAGCATTTCTGTTAGACCTTAAAAGTTGTGTTTCTTTATGGCCGAAAGTAGCAGACACAAGTGTGTTTTGCTTATTGAAGCATATATGCTCCACCGAAACACCGTATGATGCAGAAAAAAATGAGAAAGTGCAATTCTTATCTTTTCGAATATCATTTTGAAGGCGCTGTAGATACGGTTCCAAGGGTATGAAGCAGAAAAGTCAAAGGGGAGCGATGCAATTGAAAGTAGGAATGCAACAGCAGTGAGTGGGGAGCACATGACTGAATCGACCGCTAGTGAAATGCCGCCGCAAACTCCCCCACTCACACACAAACACAGGCATAGCTACGTCATGTTTTGCAACCCAGTATTTCATTTACCCAGTACGTGATGATCGTCAAACTGAGATTAATAACTTTCAGTTTAGTTTTATTAAAATTGGATGCAGTGAAGCTACCAGAGTTACTTGAATTTTCAACGGAATTTGAAGAATAATCGAGAAATCGCTGCACACTGTAGACCAGCAGACACACATAAGCAACGTTTCGAAGTGAAAAGAGTGAGAACGAATGTCGATATCCTCGGCAATTACAAGGAAACACTGAGTCAGTGGAAATTGTGTAATTGCGGCTTTTCGTATACCGTATCGATTGCGTTGTAAAGACTTTGCGCCTGCTCGATCTGTTACACAGAGATGTTTTCCAAAATGCCTAGGGTGATAGGGAATTTGGAGGACTTTTTCTTCGGTCAGTTCACTTTTCAATTTTGGGAGTTGCACCAAGATTTATAATAAGCGTAGTATGATATATTGAGGTAAAAATAGGCCGCGATCGCATATTATGCAGTTTGACAGAGCCGTCAGCTGTTGGGACGTTTTGGAGGAAGGCTATTCAGCAGCTATGCCTAAATTTAGAACTCAGCTGACCCAGTGATATCTTTAGGTCTGTGTACGAAGGAGGTGTAGGTGTGTTCCCGTCGATCGATTCTTGATGGTGATTGGTAGTATTTGTGGCTCAAACATATTCTTTATTACTTTTTCAACCAAAAATCTCTACCTTTTACTTTCGTCTTATGCTGTTATTGTTCGTTTTTTCTGTTGAGAAACCTTTTTGACGGTTTTTTTTTGCAATGATTTGTCGCCCTGCGGCGAATATTCCCTTTTAATCCAGTCGATATTCTCGGTGGGGAGGGGACAATTAGCAGGATTTACAGCTGAGGTTCATTGTAGGTCACCCGTTCCACAAATTCGTGGATGTATCCGTTCCTCCTTCTTCACACAGTTATTGAAACTGATCGAGCTTATTACTTTAAAAAAAGGTGAATCCGCCCACTGCCCTTCTCTCCTGACTCAATATAGCACCACAGTGTTCATCGAAGCATTTAATGAACAATTTGTCGTTCTTTTGTGTCGTTTTGCTACTTGCTTTGCTTTCTGCCTTGTATGACTCGTGGATTCGTTTACTTATTGTTTCGGAAATCTTTGAGCTTTCGGAATATTTAATTTGCACGATAACAGACACTATAGGGATACTTTTAGCAAATTTTATAGGAATTTTGTTAATTCGCTGTAGAAGCTTCTTTAAAACGACAAGTCATAGAATTTCCTCATACTGTTACAGAAATCTTTTCAGATGAAAAGAGATCTATTTATCTCTCCGTATCTCCTATGCCCTTCGCGTTCCTTTTTTTCTGAATTTTTCAACAGAGAAGCACTGCAAATGATTCTAACAGCAAATTTTCCTCATGACCTGCAATTTTTCTTTTGAAACCCGTCCAAAGATCCGACAAATGGTGCCCTCATGTTTTTTACTTCATCGTGTTTGTTATCATCTGCTCTTACCAAATGCCTATAGGATCTATTTGCAAAAGGTTGCTCTTCTAGAACTTGATCATCTCCCTTAGCCATCGTTTTCCATTTCTTACTGAAGCGGTCAATCTCCGATTCGTACTTTCGATATCAAAAATAGGTAGCCTTCAATCATAATCAACACCACGATATCTCTTCGGTCACAAGTGCCCGGCGTCACCTTATTTTAAAGGTTCTTATGTATGCCTTTGTCGTGGTCCCGTGACGAAAGTGCCATTTATCGATTTTACCCGATTGGGTCGCTTGGCGCCGTCTGCTGCTCCGTCGGTGTCGTGACCCTTCCTCCCGAGTGCAATTTGTAATGCTCATTTGTTATGATGACAGCATTTTATATTCCTTTTTCCCGTTTCGTTTCGACTTCATGATCTTTTACCGTTTGCCTCCGCCCGTTTTGTTTTCCTTGGTTGTTTCGCCTGATCTTTACGCCGTTAAAAACTCTTGTATAAGCGGTTTTAATTTTCCTTGAAACTTTTTTATTATAAACTTATTGTAGTTGACCTTATGGCTGACGTTGAAATGGAACAACCGAAAGCTGAACCTAAAGAGGAGGTTGTTGAAACTAATGGAAATGCTGATAAAATTAAAGAAGCTCAAGGAGTATCGGTATGTATTTGCCAACATTAGTTAGGTCGAAGAATTGTTCAGATGTTTACTTGTTCCGAGATATTCAACATTATTGTAGAAGTGGGGGAATTCGAATCTTTGCGATCAGATCTGAAGTTATTAATTTGAATCAATTAGGTTATTATGAATCAGAAATCTTTATGGGTGCCATTAGTCATATTCTGAATAAGAGCGAGGATTCACAATCAAGACTCACTTTTCTTAGCGAAGTTTCGAATGTGGCAGAGCTGCCAAAAATGTGATAGCGGTTTGCTCTACTCAACAGGGAGATAATACGAAACTCATCTTTTATAAGAAAGAATTGATCGAATAACCAATCAAGCAATTCCATCGTTCAGAAATACGCTGAAGATGAGGTCTTCAAAAAGCTAATTTCTCAACAAATGAAGCAGTCGGTGGCTGAAAGCATGATGAAGTTGTTTGAATCTGGATTCATGGCCATTGAAGACTTTGACGAACGTGCGGTGGAGATGATGAACTCGTTCCCTGAAGATCAAGCTCGCTACATTGTCGATCAGTTGCGGGTTTGTCAACTACTTTTCAAAGTCGTTTTTGTTTACTACTCATTAGTGCCACTTTTTAAGGAGTCAAGACTTTACGGAGTACAAAACAAGCCCCAATATCTGATGTCCCTTATGCGAAATTTCCGTGATCGCATTCGAGCTCAAGGAGCCCAAGCAGTTATGGCTGGCAAGCTGATCAATGGACCTGATCCAGACAAAATGACGGAAATTTTGAATAGAACCGGCTATACCCTGGAAATCACCGTTGGTCAACGGAAGTATGGTGGTCCTTGTCCCGACTGGGATGGTCCTCCAACTGGACCCGCTGGACAGGGACATGAAGTGCGTTTTGAATGCAGTGTGCTTATCGAAGTGTTTATACGACGAATACTTTTTTCAGATTTACATCGGCCACATTCCACACGAACTATTCGAGGATTCCATCGTGCCGCTGTTCGAAACGTGCGGAAAAATCTGGGATTTACGACTTATGATGGACCCCATGTCAGCCAAAAACAGAGGATATGCTTTCCTTACGTATTGCGAGAAGTCCTCAGCGTCGGAGGCAGCCAAAAAGGTTATTCTAATATCCTCAAGCAACCTTCAGATCTGCTTGGGGGCCAAGATTTCGTCGCGTTTTCTTCTTCTTTCGTCGGTGCTGTGTCCTTATTCGTCTAGCCAGCTGTTTATCTTTTTATCTCTCGTTCTCTCGGTTTTTGCCGTCATTTTCATCAATCTTTCGAAAAGATGCGTTCAAAGCAGCGCCAAAATTCCTGAAAACTGCGCAAAAAGCACGAAGAAGCTATGATTTTAGTATGATGGACACGAAATTTTGCCCGGAAAAGCTCTGAAAGTGAACGTCTCAGTCGCAAACACACGCCTGTTCCTGGGAAACATACCCAAGTCGAAAACTAAAGCCGAAATTCTTGAGGAGCTCAAAAAGCACGCAGGTAAAAAAGAACCAAGGCCTTTTCGGAAAGACTTTTTCGAGTTCTTTTGTTTTGTGCCAGGAAAGAATGGGCTGGGCATGTTGAGCAGGTAACGTTTCCCCTTGCTATCAGACATCTTTTTTATTACGCGCTTACAGACGGTGTCACCGACGTCATTGTCTACACCATTCCCGATGCGACAGAACGATTCAAAAACAGAGGGTTCTGCTTTGTCGACTTCGCAGATCACAAGACTGCTTCGGATGCGAAAAGGAAAATTCAGCAGCATAAAGTAAGGATCTTTTACTTGTCGAACGTTCACTGACCTCGGTGCACTATGGTCCTCTCCCTTTCAGATCCGTCCATTCAACAGTGAACTCGTTGTTGACTGGGCTGAGCAACAAGACGAGCCCGACGAGGATACCATGAACAAGGTGAGGTCATTCTTATGAATTTCTGGTTATATGTCATGTAATTCCATATTGTCATGATTCGCTTTGCAGGTGAAAGTACTTTACGTTCGCAACTTGAAGGAGATTGTAACGGAAGAGAAGCTGAAAGAAATCTTTGGACCGTACGGCGAGATTGAACGAATTAAAAAGATTAAGGATTACGCTTTTATACATTTCAAGGAACGAGAACCGTGCATGAAGGTACTCTGTTTTTTCAAGAGCTCCATTCTTTATTAATTAAAAATTTGCTTTCCCAGGCGCTAGAAGAATGGAATGGAAAGGAAATTGAAGGTGTGGCGGTGGATTGCTCACTTGCCAAACCGCAAGTCGAGAAGAAAAAGAAGCCGGTGGGACGAGGAAGAGGAATGGGGATGGGCATGGGTATGGGCATGGGAATGGGAATGGGCATGGGCATGGGATATGGAGGCCCCGGTGGCTTTGGTGGCCGTGGTCGAGCGAACAACATGTATCCGAATATGTGAGTGAATATATTTTATTTTGAAACACATGATTTATTATGAACAGTTCTGTTAGAAAAGATAGTTTTTGTATGGGAATAGCTTCCAAAAAGTTGGGCGGGGTCTCAGTTGAGATATTCTTTTCGTGTTATGCTTTAGTAGCGGCTGGTGTGGTTGATGAGATTTAGCACTTTTTGAGCAGTTTGAGAGAAAAGAAAAAGTAATGTAGAAGAACATGGGAAAGATGGCTTCGTAAGTAGTTCCAACCTGTGCTATAAATCAATTTGCTTTTAGGGGTTACGATGATTTCGCTTTCGGAGGCTATGGCGGATACGGTGACTACGGCGGTTACGGCCCAGGCGGCTACGGAGGATATGGCGATTTCCAGAACGGCGGATACGGTCCACCTGGAGGTTATGGTGGCTACGGTGGAGGTGGCTACGGCAGAGGTGGAGGCGGATTCCGCGGTGGTCGTGGAGGAAACCGAGGAGGGTACGCGGGGTATGATCTTCGCCGTTTTAGACGTTGATGTTGAAATACGATGAGTTTATTTTAGGCGAGGCAAGCGACCGGGTGATCGATCTGGCGGACCGGCTTCCAAGCGAGATAACGGGGCGCCAGATTTCTCGGCCGATGTAAACATGAGTTCATTCTGAAGATCTGGTACTATGTATCTTATAAGTTTTGTTGTTTCGTGTTTTGTGTATACTGAATGTACTAATGTATTTTTTTTGTCTGCTGTTGATTTTGTTGAAGCGGTGTTAAATCGCGCAGTGCTCGTGTCCTCAGTATCTCGTCTTTTTTCAACGTTATGTTGTCAAGTTTAATTCTAATTGATATTAAATTCTGTGAACTATCTGTATGAATTTTATAGAAGTAAAAGGCACTTGAATTGAATACTTTTGGCTTTCAAAGTAGATAGAGGAATGCATTAACCTTGCGTAGATTAGCATGGGTTCCATGCCAAAAGTCGTGGAGATTGGAAAGAAGCCAAGGAGACTGCGAGATGGTGGGTTTTATAATAAAGCAGAGATAATATATTGGTTCGAAGAGAGGGCGGGGATTGCTACTGAAAGGCACTTTATTCCCTCAATGAGCGACTAGCCCATTTCTGGCGACAGGTTGCATCATAGTAAAGTGTAACGGGATGGCGTAACTACAATAGGACGTGCGAGAATTTCGCGCTGTTGTTTAATGGCATCAAGTGAATCAGTTTTTTGCTTTTATTGAACTGAACAAGTTTATTGCAATATAGCATTTGAGCAGGCTGAGTAGTCATAGTTTAGCTTGTTTTTAAAGGCACAGTTCACGATGAAAATGGTTCCTGTGATTTCCTCACAGGATGAATTTGAAGCCCCCCGCGTATGCCATCTGACACTACTAGGTCGGAAAACGGCCTAGTTAGGGAGTTATAAAAACTCAACGATTATCCGTGTGTCCTCGAACGAGTTTCACCGGCATTGTAGAGGCTGCACAGACCACAAGGGAACCTACGTAGGAAGTTCGAACAACTTGTCATGACCCGTAGCGACAGTGAAAGACAGTTCTGTACAGTCCTGGCTTGATGTAGTCAGCTGTTTGCGCAGTTGCAATAACTGGAATCTCGTCCGAATACCCCTTCCATGTTATTTCCGTCATGACAATCTCGTCCAACCTCTATTTTCCCTAATTTTGAGAAGCCATATTTTTCTCGAAATCAGCGAATTCTGTCGCTTTCTTCACTACCGATGAACTATTCCCAACCTATACTACCGCTTTTCGATTAAAAACGGATACCTCAAAATTATCGTGAACTGTGCCATTAAGGGCCAACGGAACTTTAAGATGTAAGGCGTAGTGACCGATCCAGCGGCAGAATCCAGCGAAGGAGATCGAGACTGAGAAGAGCTGCGAGTAGAAATCCCGGCCTCTAGAGCATCCCTTAGCTGAGAATCAGTATTAGGGCCATAATGGGTTGGATACAGGGTCAGAGGTACACAAGTCGAGGAGCCTGTTCCAATTTAGCCTGTCAACGAGTGACTCAATGAGAAGATTAGTTGTAGTCCGTCAAAATCTGTCGAATGCCCTGAACGCCAGTATCGGAAGTTTGGGAAATCCCGACTCTACTTATAAAAGAGCAGAGCTACTAAGGAATTCAGTTTCATCTCGAGCTATACTTGAAACGCCTCCGAATTTCAATAAATAAGCAAGATAAAAGCGAATCTCAGTTAGCCATCAGTAAAAACTGTGAAAAGAGGCCGAAGATGGCTAGCCGAAGCCGATGGATCCCTAACGAGTCGAACAATGCGCCGAGAGCTATATCAGAATAGAGTCTGAGGTTGTGTTCATAGTTTGCGCCGTCGTAAGACCGAAGGTCTTTTCTACAACGTTTGGGAATTGCGATAGCATTCATGATTTCTTTCTTTTCTATCTCGCTCTGTCTATATCTCAGAGCTCAGTAATACCTGGCGATGCTCAGCAATCGTACTCATTGGGATCTGGTGAGCCTTCCTCTGTGAAAGCTAAAGGTGGGTAGATAGTCCACGTTCAACCTTCTTGCAACCCTGGCATGTTAGTTAGTCAAGATGCTTCTTATTCAAGCCATTCGAGATTGAGTCACTTTATTAGGCCGACGTATCGGATTCTTCGTCTTCGTCAGAGCCTGAAATGATCCAAAACAAGCCACATATGCTTTGGACTATTTCAGGCTCTGACGAAGGCGGAACAGCAGAAACGTAGGCCTTATAAAGTAATATTTCAATTTTGAATAGGAACGTAGTCGAGTCTGAAGACATTAACCGTACTGTAGGAGAAACTGACTCTTAACTTAAAGGCAGAGTCCACGGAGACTATGAAGTACCTTTCCCAGGGCAAATAATGGAAATAATGCATAGTAGTGCATTGGTGGCAATGAAAAAAACGGCGGAATTCGAGAAGTGTAAGGTGTAAAATTAAGTAAAAGTACCCTGTGATAGCATAAGGTTGTGATGACGGGACTTGTATGGAAGGGTATTTGGACGAGATTCCCGTTGTGTGCAATCGCGTAAAAAGCTGACTTCAGAATGTAAAAACGCTAGAAACTACTCCTGTCACTGTTTCCACGGCTCGATGCTACATAAAAATTTCCAACAATCAAGCTCATCTCTGCATGAGTCATACTGCCGTGCATGTCAGTGAGCTGTCGTAATCATAAAAGGCCACAGTCATGCAAGGGCTAGGGGAGAGACTGGATTGTACTTCGTACAACTCACGATTTAGGTGAGATCGGGTTAGAGGATAGCGATGTGGCTGAATTGAGGTACGACCGACATTATTGCGAACATCCTTGCATTCGAATCAGGCGATGATCAGAAAGGAACGAAAAATTGTTTATGACTCCGCAGTCGAGAACGGTTGTAGATGGAGGAGAGCAAATGAAGTCAATCTGGCTGTGCACATTCCATTAGGACCTCTTCAAGTCCATAATAGTCCTTTCCTTTTACGAAAAAACGTGTTCTACGCACGTAATCCTAATTTGGTTAACCTTTCTGTAAGTATGTGTCCGCATTAAGAGAAAAAAAAGAAATTAAGAAGAAAAAGTGAGCATTCGATTCCTGTATAATGCCGGCCGTACTCTATGGAGCGGAAACATGGTCGTTACGAAAATCGGATATTAGAAATTTGTGCGTAGCCCAAAGGGAGATGGAAAGGAGGATGCTTGGGTTACGTATGCTGGACCGATGGAGCTGTGATAGAATAAGAGCACCCACGAAAGTCAGTGACTGGACGAACGAGGCTTCGAGCAGAAAACTCATGTGGGTCGGAGAGGTACGTGAAATGGACGAGTGTATGGGCTCGCGTGAATACGACAAGGATTCCATATGACTACATGGACCGAAGAAGGCGAGAACACCCTGGTATTCGATGGCGCGGTGAATTGTCGAAGAAGATCGAAAAAAAACGGGTGGAATATGACGAAGGAACAGTTCGATCAGGCCATGATACGGCATTCGACTATGATAGATCTCGTAATAAAGTGTACAAGCGTACATGCAAGGGTGTGATGGGGGAAGTGGGGTGAGGTGGGAGGTGCGTAATAAGCTAAGGATAAGTACCATTTTTGGTAAGCGGATCGCTCGTCTTCATGATACCACTTTTCTTAAACTCCGACAAATAAATAAATGAACCAGACGAAGCTGAAGGCGTACACAGTCTATAATGGTCATACCTATGTAATATACGTAGTGCTTTCCCGGAATCCGTAATCCTAATGTCTCAGTTCAACAAGAGTCATTAAAAGTCCTATTCAACTGGAAAGATCGGGGATTTACCGAAAAAATTCAAATCAATATTCCATTTTCGTGTAGGTTTCACTAGAACAGCTCTTCCTCATTAACGCTTTGACGACAACGTGCCTTTTTGCGTGTCTGGCGCGCGGGACAGACGCGTTTTGAAGCTTTGCGCTTCCGCGGCTCACCGTTGAGCCGCGCTTTCCCACGGGTGAGACATTTTTCCAATGTGGGCATTTTTTGCTTTTTCCGAGCGTTTTTTATGATTTAGACTGAAGCAGGTGTAGACCAGGTAATTATGAGTTCTCAACTTTAGTTAGGTCTGGTTTTATGCAGTATATAGCTTTGGGAGTCGAAATGGATCAGCCTGAGTGGACGATTTGGAGGGTGGTCTTAAAGATTTTTGGTCGAACCCAACGAATGTAGAACTGAAGAATAATTTTTTCAGGCTATGCTTTGAAGATGTTACACATGGGGGACTAGGATTTACTTAAGATTTAGATTCAAGATTTACTTCGGTAGGTAGCCCACAAGCAATGACTCAGCAGCTGTGTTTGCTACGGTCATGACTAATGGATGGACTCTTGAATCAAGGAATGCATCTCTATACCGATAACTAAATGACTTATTGGAACATAGCACCCACTTGTACGACGCTCGAAAAGGCGAAAAGGCGGCGAATACTAATAAAAGTCGAGGCAGTTGAAAGGAGGGCAAGTTCTCAAAAAATTCGTTACAAACAACTATCTCGAGCTTCTGGAAGTGTTCACGCCCCTCCAAGGCGAGTCACTTCTAGGGGCAGGGCAGTAGATGTGAAGGTCATTTTTACATTGATTGTTTTCAGAAAATGCACATAAAGAGTGATTTCCAGGGAGAGAATTGAATTCATTAGTAGTTTTCAAAAATTAGCAATGTTTTTCCTAGCCCACTTCCTTTATAGTGGTATTTGGTGATTGCCAACCCATTAAATACAAAAAACTCCAAGTAAAACTAAAAATCGAGAAAAACAACCGATAAGAAGGGTGCGGTCCACCGTTGAGCCGCGTTGTCCCACGCGAACGGAAAACCGTGGCTCACCGTTGAGCCGCGCTGTCGTCAAAGGGTTAATTGGATCAGACCTACGTAGGTCAGATAAATCTGATATGTTTCCAACTGAAAATGACAATGAAATCATTTGAGATAGTCAATGTCAATCTCTCACTAAAATGGGTCAAGTTTCTCTTCCATGCAGAAGTATAGTGGTGTTTCATATGTATATGTAGCCTAAACATTGATTTGGGGTGGTCAGCTGAAGTGCAAGTCAGTACTTTTATCCTCCCAACCGTGTTCGATACCGATAAATCGACCCCGGAAGAGCGGAATGTTTGGTTGGCAGGCGGCACTTGGTACTACATTACCTAAGCCCCTAAACTACTAGAAATATAGTAATTAACGGTACTTCAGGCTCAACCAAAAACTGGAGTACGGCATATATTTGGTTTTTCCATCATTGAATTAGTTGCTCTTGACGATTTGTTGAGCTATGCGATTTTTGTCCAATATCCAAGTGATCCTGAAGAAGTCTCAGTGACAACAGACCCAGTTGTCTCGCACATGGATTGAAGAAGTCTCCGGTACGGGTTGGCTCGGAGTTACAGCGTCTCCCACTCGGTTGAAAGCTTCAAACTCTTCCGAGAGAATGAAAACTCATGCTAGGCTATGTTTTTGAACGCAAATCAAATGCGAGGAGGTTTTGAAGAGTTTCATAGAATGGGTCGTTTTCAGAGATATGTGAATATGTGAGCGAGTTTCTGATCGTCTTTACGCATACAGTTTTGTACCGGTTCGGTGGCTATTCTTCTGTAGAATATCGCGATTACTCGTATGGAGGAAAAGTCGCTACAAAAGTGAGTTTTATCCTCATCTGTTCGTAAATAACGACTAACTACTGATATTGATGAAAACTAAATCTGACTGGTGTTATGTAAAAGTACACTCAGTGTCGGTCTACATTCGCGTACCAACAGAAAAAAAGGAGAGTTATCTCATCACTTATGTCGCATACTGAACAGTTCCAACCACCCGTCACATATACGGCACATTGAGAAAAGGCCTTGAGCAAGGAGCCCGGTGGTTGTTAGTCGTTGCGGTCTTTAAAGATCTTTTGGTTATTGTTGCCATTAGTAAATATGAGCAGCACTAATCTGGCTTTCTCGAAGCGTAGGAGGGAGACGAACTTCGCAATTTGAGGGATCACTTTTCGATAAGTTCGGGTTGTCTACAGTAACAGAAGTAACAGTCGAGAGCAGTGCAAGAACGGTGGCGAAAATGAGAAAACCAGCGTGTCTGGAGAAATGTAAAGCTTCAAAAAAGAGGTAGAATCGAGGGGTCTGACAGAATAAGGAATAGTCTGACGTTTCCGCTTAAACGCTGTGAACTGTGAGCCAATATATCTGATTCGAAAAGTCGGATAAAACTCCGCTAAACTCTTACAAAGCAATATTTTGGAATGTTGATTTGTTTTGTTTACCCGTCTCTGTGTTTGTGTGCTTGTCTGTTTGTCTTTTCGTCCGCATACTGAAACTGTCAGTGGGCAGTTTGAAAGGTGTGCTGAGCGGTAAAACACACTTCCTTATTGGTTTGAAAGTTTGGTCTCGCGATTCTCTCTAGTACGGTTTGTTAGGTTATATCACAAGAAGAGCATTCCCTAGAACCAAGAGGGCTTAACAATTCAAACTTGGCCAAAGGAGAAGGGGGACAATTCGATAATGACATTAGTGGTATTTGAGAAAATCGGGATTCTGCCATGCATCCGTCTTCTTCGAAAATTGTCGAAGTGATTGGAAGGTGCTGCAATATTTACGTCGTCAAAATCAAAAGCTACTCAGCTCAAAATATTCCCAATGGAATGTGCTCATCAAGAGGAGCAATTTAACAATGCCGTTGTGGGGTATTTGAGATTCTTTGGCGTAGGCTCTACAGCGTCCCCTATCTGAGCTGAGCTCGAACTCTGGATTCCCCTCTGCTCCTGCGTGTCGGGAACTCCGAGCATTGCCCTATCCTAGTATACTCGGAATAAAACTGGGTGAAATACTAAAATGGGAGGCTTCTCCCATACAGGCCATTACCGTAAAGGCGAAGTCCACATTGAAAGGATTTATAGGTTCTTAGTAGAATTCAAAAGCATAGCTTGAATTATTTATATTGTCGATGGTATTGATAGGGAATATTTCAGATGTGCCAAAATGATCGCGTTGTGAGGTATTGTCAACGATCTGCTCATCTGGCCAATCAAGCGATTGAGAAGCATAATCTGGAGATATATGAAGGTTGTTGAGAAGTTTCCTTGAAAATTTAAACGAAAAGCGTCTTGATGACATCGGGGAAAGTTATTTCATCCTTGTCCTATAGATCTCATCGTAAGGCAATAGAGCTCTCTGAGTGTGACATAATTTTTGACAAACGTTCCTTACTTGCTAGTTGCCTCGCCGCGTTCATGTCTAGTTAGTTGTCTCGTCGCACACCTTGTTAGCTCATTGTAGTTCAGCTGATTGATTTTCTTTTAAATAGTCACCCTTCGTAACTGTCAGTTTCTGCTTTTATAGATGATAATAGGGAAAAGAAAACGCAAAAAAAGCAAATAAGAAGAGACCTTCTTGCTTCTTGTGTTTTTGCGCAAAATGCCTTGCTATGGATGACCGCCCGAGATGTCGCGCGCGATGACCTTTTAGGCGGCAGGTGCGATGACATCTTTTGACCCGTGTCCTAACCGTTTGACGATATTTCAGTAGCCATTGAGGATGGAAAAAGAAATGCGCTGATCTGTTTCCGTGTGATGTTTCGACAAGTTCCACGATTTCTCAATAAAAAGCTGTAGGTTTTTGAAGTCTTTTGGGCATACAGATGTTCCTTATCTTTTTGTACTCCACTGACCTGTTCGATTAATCTGTTTGTTTTTAGTAAAAGTTTGGCTGTACCTGAGTTGTGTCAACTCAAAGAAGACCTATCTGAAGTGCTCCTCGAGCTTCTATCCTTGGAGATACCCGATGAATTGAACAGGATACTTGAAGATACTCGTAAGTGCTTTTGGACGCTCTACTTTTCCGATTTTATTTAAATTTTCCTTTTAATAATCAGTGTGGATGGTGATTGTGTGTGATTTTATATGGTTTGTCTCAATGTCGATGCGGTTTAGCCGGACTTTCGCTCGATTTCTTTTTCTTACCTATCATCCTGATCCGCTCTGCTCCTACATCCACTATCTCGATTAAATTAACAGCCTAACGTTTTGTCGTTTTGTGTACTTTTCGAAGCTCTTTGCTCTTCACTTTTATTGGTGAGCTTTCGGCATATAATGCCTTCGTCAGACCTTAATTATTTACAATACATTGCTGCATACAATCTGTCACTATCAGTTACAATACAAAGCACATCAAATCATACCAAGTCAACCGGAAATGTTGGGGAAAAGTGGGAAATGGACCTGTCGGCGGGGAACTCAAAGGGAAAATGGACACCGCTCTTGTCCTGAGGCGACTAAGTGTTATCACTCAATCAGTCTCAGTAGGTCACGCATCTCCTCTTTCGCATTGATTTCCGGCTTGATGCGGTATATTTCCCGTGCCTCCATGATTTTCCTTTCCAGTGGCCGTACCAAATATCGATGCAAAACCCTCACATCAAAGGATGGAGCGCTTTCTTTCTCATGCCTGAGTGTACGGTGCCTAGAAAAACTGTTGTGTGGATAGGCAGCGGGATTGGCCAACGCTCTTCTATGTTCGTCCAGACGGATCTTCAGCGGTCTCGCGGTCTCCCCCACGTACTTTTCTCCACATCCTCCACATTGAATCAAATAGACGGTGCCCTGAAGTTCACAGATGTTCTCAGAAGTGCAGTATCGACACGACTGTTCGTGGCACCGTTTTTCGTAGATTCGGGACGATGTCAGAAGATCCTTCAGCGTAGGGGGAGGTCGGAAAACAAGTCGAATGGGAAGCTGAGAGTTCTTGACGACGCGATTCACCTCACGTGCCAATTTGTCGTTGACAAAAGGTACAATGAGGCTAACACCATCAGCCGTCCTGTGCGGGACCCATGTCCTCGTATTGCCCTCGAAGTATCCATTGCTTTCAAGGATACTTTCAATTTTGGCATCGACAACTGAATCCTTTCGCGTCCCAAGCTTCTCCTTCGTTTTCAAAAGATTCCGCACGACGTTTGCCTTCATATAAGCAGGATGTGCGCTTCTAGAATGCAACAAGATGTTCGACGAGGCACTTTTTCTATACCATAGGTGTTCCTTATGACCTTCACTTATTCGTGTTTTCGCATTGAGGAATGGAAGGAATCCATCCCTCCCCGGATCTTCCCTGGTGAAGGTTATGTTAGCATCGTGAGAGTTCAGTCTCTCCAATGTTTCCACAAGGTCTTCTTCCGTTGTTCCGATAATGAATACGTCATCAATATAACGTTTGTAGAACAAAATTCCACTAGTTAATGATGACTTTTCGATGTGGTCCAAGAAGATGACTGCTAACACAGGTGCTATGCGGTTACCCATGGCAAGGCCTCGTTTTTGCTTGTAGAACTTATTGTCGAAGCAAAAGATGTTGCATTCCAGTGCTGCTTCGATGAGATCCTTAAGTTCGCTGAGGGAAAATCCCATCATCGTGATATGGTCTTTGTTATCCTCGATGAGAGATAAGACAGCTTGCACTGCTCCCTCGTTATTCACGTTCGTGTATAAGGATACTACATCAAAGCTCGCATAGAAGGCTCCCGTCGGTACTGGACATTGGTGAAGCGCCAAAATGAATTCTTCCACATTCACAATATGTGCTCCCACGTAACGCAGAAGTGGCGAGAGCAAACGAACTAAGAGCCAGCTTAATCCGTCTGCTGGTCCACCACAAGACGCGATAATCGGTCTCGTCTTGATCTCATTCCATGGGAGGGTCATTGTGTTTGTGTTNCGTGACCTACTGAGACTGATTGAGTGATAACACTTAGTCGCCTCAGGACAAGAGCGGTGTCCATTTTCCCTTTGAGTTCCCCGCCGACAGGTCCATTTCCCACTTTTCCCCAACATTTCCGGTTGACTTGGTATGATTTGATGTGCTTTGTATTGTAACTGATAGTGACAGATTGTATGCAGCAATGTATTGTAAATAATTAAGGTCTGACGAAGGCATTATATGCCGAAAGCTCACCAATAAAAGTGAAGAGCAAAGAGCTTCGAAAAGTACACAAAACGACAACAAATTTAAATGAAGCTCAGAGATAGCAGTATTTTGCAATAGCCTAACGTTTTGTTTAATATAAAAACAATTAGAGAATGCTCTTTAGCAACGCGTTTACGGATTCGTCTACAATTATGCAATGAGCAACAGAAACGTCTGTTCAAGAAAACCCTGGAAACAAAGCTGCCACAGGTTTTGCTGCCATTAACTGATACCGTTAGGAACGAATATAATCAGGTATGTACTGAAACTCTTTCTTTCGATTCATCAAATGAATACAGCCCTTTCAAAAACCGAGGGGTTCCTCGATAAGTTCAGTGCTCAAGGTGAAATATCGCGTAATTCAAGTGAAATGTTGTAGTAGCTTAAGATTTTCTTTAGGTTGTGTGTCGTTAGGTCAGAACGTGACAGCACGTATTCTTTCGCTCGCCGCCCGACGCTAACCTTGTCCCACATCTATTCCATTTGCCGCGTGCGACCGTTGCGCGGCAATTTCTGAAAGCCAGCTGTCGTGCGACTAAATCGCGAGCGGCGAGCGGCAAAATGCGCATCTCCTTCGCCTATTTGAACAAGCGCTGCTATTTTGTGATTCATCCTCGCTAAATCTCCCAAATCGTTATTTTGTTGTTCATATGAGTATTCTTAGGAGGGCTTGTTATGCGTATTTCAGTTGGTGTTCGCAGTTTTTGTACCATCTGACGATCCTGATCAATAACTATGGAATACACATGGCACGGGACTATGATCTCCATTCTACTATCAGATTACTTTTGCCTTTTACAGTTATACTGGTTGTCTCAAATGAAGTGTTGATATGTATTAGTAAAAATAACAGTAGTAGCAATAAATAAGGAATTAAAGGTTGTACAAAAGGCAAATATAAATAAACAATACAGAATAAAAGTCGAAATAAAAAGTAGTGCAAATAAGGTTGAAGCGGTTGGATGTAATGGTACTTCTGGTTCAAGTTAGCCATTTCCCAGTGGATTCTCAGAATTTCGTGAGTGGGTATTCAGTTCTATTTCTTTTTGTTGACAGATTTTACTCCATCACGAAAATGAAGTAAATAAATTGTGCTCAGGTTGGTTAGGATACGTTTTCTATACATCGAACTGGTGCTGAAGTCTCGTTGGCTCAGTGGTACCAACATGGACGCATAGTTAACGGGTCGGTTCGAATCCAGGCCAGAATCCGGAGACGACAATTTTTCAGCAAAACTCCATGAGAGAGAACAAGGCTGACGAAGTTGCAATCCAGATTCCTTCTACTCGTATTGGTCCCAACAGGCCAGTGCTAATCGAGGCTCCATCATAAATTTTTTTTTCTCCACGAATCATTCTGAAAAATGGTGCAAAGCCGCTAAAACATAGAAAGCAGAGGCAGTTTGAATTGAAGAACTGAAAATCTAAAATTGGAGAAAATCAAGCCGCGAACAAATTTTATCAGTACGAGAACTTACCCGCGTTACCATTGCCTGCAAAGCCAAGAGCATATTCTCCTCAGCCATGTTTCTTGGAAAAAGTATCGAAGGCTTTAATCGCTATGACAGTTTGTGCAGTGGCTAGTTCCTTGTTTCATAGTCGCGGGGTCGTTGGTTCGAGTTCGGCGACGGTACAGTTTTGATTCAGAACACTTGTGACATTCTATCCTACCACAAATATTCAACAAAACTACACCACCCCCGTTGGAATACATTCATCCACACAATAAAATGATGCTGAGGTCTCCTTAGCTCAGCTGGTTGACGTTGGCGTGCAGAGCACAAAGTGAACGGTTCAAATCCAGTCAGAAGAATTCAGGGAGATCTAGTTTTTGTTAGAGCGGTAACTACGAAGTGTGGGATTCAACAAGGAAATAGTGTGAAAATTGCAAGATGGAACGGCGATGGAATTCCCACCTTTCCTCGATCGATTGGTCCCAACAAATCAATCGAGTAGCCAATACGTGCCCACTTAAATCAGTATGCAGCCAATTGATCTGCCATTCCATGACCACCCATCGAGCAGTCAACCTCGACAATCTGCACCCATCACCCTCATTGCAGCCTTTTTTCTTTGTCCCCTCTATTTAAAAGACCCACAGACTAGAAAAGTAGCAAAAAATACGTTACACTTAGTAGTAGAATGACGAAGAGGCTTTTGTTGCGTGGTGTACGGGTTTCTTCGATATGGACCCATTCGAGAGCCGAATAAGTGAAGTCAGCTAAAACCGGCTTAAGGTGGTAGCCGAAGTTGGGCTGGTCTGAAACCGGGAGAAGCTGGCGCACTGGCACCGGGTGAGGTCGATGCACTTACATCGGGTTAAGCTGGGCCAGCGACTTTATTTTGTGAGAACGCTTTCAAGAGGAGAAGCTGAACAATGGCACGAAAAAGCGAAAATTGTTAGAAATTTGGGTTCGTGGAAGCCGTATGGTGCCGTTTGTGAAAACCGAAATCCTGCGAAAGCTAAATCGATGACAGGTACATCGAGGAGCAGGACTTGATATTCTGCATCCCCCTTCTTCCACAGCCTTTTTTCTTTGTGCCCTCTCTCGGAAAGACCTCCCAGGTGAGTAATTAGCTAAAATATACGGTACACATGTTAGTAGGGTTCGAAGAAGGCCTTTGGTGGGTGGGTGGGGTGCAGCGCTTACCGATGAACACCCATCCGAGTGAGTTGGTGGTGACGAGCACCCGCCGGCCAGCGGCCGTAGGCTGGGTGGTCCCGAGGGAAGCCGAAGGCTTCTCGATGGGACCACCCAGCCCGGCCGCTGGCCGGCGGGTGCTCGTCAACACCAACCCAGTTCGGACAAGCTCCGGGTGAAGCCGGGGCTCGGGTTATTTTGGGGGAAATGCTGCATTTTTGAAAAAAGTTTAGGTGAAGCAGGAGCTGTGATTCTGAAAGAAATGCTGCACTATGGAGGAAAAGCTGAAAATAATGGTGAAAAAAATGCAAAAACTGAAGAAACAGGGCCCTTAGTAGTGATATGATATGTGCAGAAGCCAGCTGACAATATTCGAAATTTAGTGGAAAACACGAGAATCGGCTAAAAAGTTTCAATTAGAGAGGAAAAGTAGGAGACCGGTGGAAAAGGCTGGCATAATCGGAACACAGAAAAATCGATGAAGAAGTCGAAGACCCCAAAGTTCACGAAGCAGATGAGAATCTTGAAAACCCTTGAAAAAGCCAGGAATGAAGAAAAAGGAAATGGTTTGCGAAAAACTGGTGGATAGGATGGAAACTGAATGAAAAGTCAGGGGGTTTGGGAGGAGAAGTCGAAAAATGGCGCTGCATGAGCATATATTAGTTGTGGAAAAACCAAGGGTAGTGACGAAAGTAAGACGAGTGGGGCGGAAAAGCCAAGATCTGTGGTGGTAGACAAGCCTTTGCAATCATTGCGGCACGTTTTTCGCGTCGACCGGAATAAAAAAATCATTTTGACGCTGACCTTTCCTGGACAGGATTTGATCGATCGATCGGTTGGTTGCAAAGGGACGGCAGGGCATTCGAAGGAAATTTCGTGGGATTCCATGGAGCGAGCTCCAACTACTTCACTGGCTCGTCTTCCACTAAAGATTTCGATTTTTCCTTTCGCTCTCAACCATGACTTTTGCATAACTGTCACTGGTCTATGCAGTACACGTTCTTGAGTTTTTTTCATATCCTTTGACTACTCCGTTTCGCCTGTTTCATCAATTCACTTCACTTCGTCACCACAAACATATGCGTTTCCCACCACCCATTTCCTTTCTTCTCCAATCTTGGCCTTTTCAAGGGGTTTCAGAATTCTCATCTGTTTCCTGGACTTCGTCGGGTCTTCGAATTCTTCATCGATTTTTCACTGTTCCGCTTATGCTAGCCTTTTCCACTGCTCTCCTACCTCCCCTCTCTGGTTTAGACTTTTCAACCGTTCTCAAGTTTTCCACTAAATTTCGAATATTGTCAGCTGGCTTCAGCACATATCATATCATTACTACGGGCCCTGTTTCTTCAGTTTTTGCATTTTTTCACCATTATTTTCAGCTTTTCCTCCACCAGCATTTCTTTTAGAATCACAGCTCCTGCTTCACCTAAGTTTTTTTTTTTTCAAAAATGCAGCATTTCTCCCAAAATAACCCGAACCCCAATTTCACCCGGAGCTTGTCCGAACTGGGTTGGTGGTGACGAGCACCCGCCGGCCAGCGGCCGTAGGCTGGGTGGTCCCGAGGGAAGCCTTCGGCTACGGCCGCTGGCCGGCGGGTGCTCGTCACCACCAACTCACTCGGATGGG